CTATTGACCTGTTGACGACACTCTCGCTGTCTGCCATTGCTTCCAATGGCGAAGTCAAAGGTGGTGGTGCCTATTACCTCATCTCGAGGTCCCTGGGTCCTGAGTTTGGTGGTTCTATCGGTATTCTTTTCTATCTTGCTCAAGTCCTCAATGCAAGCATGAACGTTGTCGGTCTCATTGACTGCATCCGACTGAATCTGGGCCCAGCTTTCCCAGAAGGATATTGGACTGGTTACTTCCTCCAGACGGCTGCTTTACTCCTTTGTACTGGCCTCTGCTTCCTAGGATCTGCTACTTTTTCGAGGGCGTCCAACGCTTTGCTTGCAATCCTAAGCTTGGCCATCGTCAGCATTCCCGTCTCGGCTATCTTCAAGACCCCCTTCCGTGATGAGGATCTTGGTATTCACTTCACTGGGCCCAGCCTTGATACCCTGACTGATAACTTTCTCCCTCATTTGAGTAGCCCTCACTTCAAAGGCCTCGAGACATTCCGTGATCTATTTGGCATTCTCTTCCCGTGAGATCCTGACTTGCAATACAGTATTCAAATCCATACTAATGGTGGATTAGGGCTACTTCGGGTATCTTTGCAGGTGCATCCATGTCTGGTGATCTCAAAGACCCCAGCAGATCGATCCCTCACGGAACGTTGTGGGCGATGTTGACAACCTTTATCATCTATTTCATCGTGATCCTTTCTCTGGCTGCGAGCACCACCCATGACTCTTTCTTGGCCAACGACAATGCCATCTCACTCATCAATCTATCTCAGCCTGTAATCCTCGCAGGTGAATGTGCAGTCACCTTCTTCTCGGCTTTGATGGGTCTCATTGGTGCTTCTAAGCTGTTTCAGGCTTTCTCAAGGGATAAACTTCTTCCTGGTCTTGGCTTCTTTAGCAAAGGCACTAAGCACGGCGATGAACCGATATATGCTCTGCTCTTGACTTATGTCATTGCACAACTGGCACTCTTTGCTGATCTCAACCAGATCGCTACCTTCATCTCGATGGGCTACCAGATGACTTTTTTCGTCATGAACCTCGCATGCTTCCTCCTCAAAATTGGATCCGCGCCCAACTTTCGCCCGAGCTTCAAGTTCTTCACCTGGCAGACCGCATTTGTTGCCGGTATCTTGTCCGGATTCGCCATGTTCTTCATCGATGTAACCTATGCCGCGGTGGCTATTACAGTGCTCGTCATGCTCTTCCTGCTCATTCACTACCTGAGTCCCCCTAAGCACTGGGGTGATGTGAGCCAGAATCTAATTTATCACCAAGTGAGGAAGTATCTTCTTCGTCTTAGACCAGAACACATCAAGTTCTGGAGACCACATATTATACTGCTCATCAATAATCCGCGTCGGCAAACCAGGTTGATTCAATTTTGCAACTCGCTCAAGAAAGGCTCACTTTATATACTTGGTCATGTCATTGTGACTGATGATTTCAACTCTGGTGTCCACGAGGCTAGACTCCAGCAACACGCCTGGACGAAATACATCAACGAGTTCTCCAAGATCAAGGCTTTTGTGCAACTCACAATGTCTCCCACAATCACTTGGGGCATTCGAAACCTGATACTATCGGCTGGACTTGGAGGTATGCGTCCAAATATTGCTGTTCTTGGCTCCTACAACATGGAAGAATTGCGAAAGTCCAACCCGAGACTACGCGTGCCTGATGTTCCCGTCTCTTTCTCTAGACAAATGCAGCGTCCACCAAAGTCCAACGGCAAGGCTCCCGAAAGGCCTCGAAGGCGGCGAGGAGACACATCAGCCAGACTTATGGAGGGTATACTCCCCACCGATGTCATTCGTACGGAGAATATGATGTCACCAAAAGAGTATTTGACCATTCTGGAAGATCTTGCCCTTCGGTATCGACTCAATATCGCAGTGGGTTGTGGTTTCGATGCTCTAGAAACACCAAGAAAGGATGGCAACAATACCAAAAAGTACCTTGACCTGTGGCCTATTCAGATGTCTGCTGAAGTGACATCTGATGGCAAGAGCTTGCTGACTACAAATTTTGACACATGTGAGTAGAATGCCTAGAAAGGTCAGTCCCAAGCTTATAGTCATAGACACTCTTATTCTTCAACTCGGACATATTTTACATAGCGTCCAGCTCTGGAAGCAAGTTTATACGCTACGAGTTATGGTGTTTGTGGAATACGAAAGCGAAGTACACGAAGAGCATGCTCGGGTACTGGCACTTCTTGAGAAACTACGAATTGATGCACAAGTCAATGTTTTCTGCTTATCTTCGGGCGAGTTGAATACTTACGAAATCATTGTCAACGGTGTTAGCCATGACATAGACTGGGAAATCGTCGTAAACGATACACTTCGAAATGAAGAATGGTGGGACGATGTTCAGATGTACCGAGGGCGCGCGGACAACATGTCTTCAACTCAGGAGCTCGACCAGCTCGAACAGATTTATGATTCGACATCTGGGAGACCCGGCTTGTACAACCCCCATGAGGAGATATATGAGCGTCGACGCGCAAGCACAACGGATGTTCCCGAACTGCCACGACGGCCAGCTATTCGGATGCTGTCCAAGATGGGTGTCAGCATGGGGATCCATACACATCATCTCCCAGACGACGCATTGGACGAAACAAGTAGCGAGGACGACGAAACAGAAGATTCCCCGACAGATCTTATTGAAGATGAGGAGATGGGGTATAGCTCTGTGTTAGAGCAGGACGCCAACGACGAGGCCAGCATCGGCCCAAGTGATTCGGTGCATCAACCATTGCTGGCGGGTGGGGACTCTCATGATGAGGACGGCAGAGTTCGCGGTGACTTTTGGGAAAGGTTTGGCCGGCGTCCCAAGTCTGACACCATTGGAGATACCGTCGGTACATCGTACGGTACAATGTCATCGTCTGCAACGGTCAAGGGTGTTGGGGGGGCCCAAATATCGCAGACGACATCTGCTTCTCAGCAAACAGATGAGCGGCCACATCAAGGCAGCACAGACTCTGCCCCTGCAGATATTCCCTCTCTCGTCTCACGGGATTCACTAGGACCTTCTGCCACATATTCTCGTACACGTCCGGCAAGCCCTTCGCGTGAAGACACTGTACGCCCATACCGCGGTGGCACGACAACACCAGGAAGGCCGACTCTCTCAAGGCAATCCTCGGCCGTGAAGTTCTCTAGTCGTCCGGTCCCCGAGACAAAGATTGTCGCATCGGAGGCGGAAGGATCCACGATTAGCTTTGCGCCGCCCTCTAGTACAGATTCAGAAACACCAAAAGCCGGGCCGTATCGACCGAGCTATTCAAGGCAGTCTTCTCTAGGCAACTATCCGAGCAAATCGCGGTCCAGCACACAAATAACGTCTGGTGAGAACGATAGCAAGAAAATCTCTTTTGCGGAGCAACCAGATTACGAGCCATATTCGGCCCATCATTCTCGGTTCCATTCGCGACGTAGTTCTCGGGGATCTGCACAGTACGGAGGCGATTATTGTGATCAAATACCCGAAATGCTCGAAAGATATCGATTAAGCTCTCACCTAGAGGAGGAAGCGCAGGAACCAGGTCACACGCCCCAGGGCTTGGAGCTGTCATTCAACGAACTGCCAAGCAGAGCTCAGCACCTCATTGTCAACGAATTGATGCGTCAACATTCCAAGGATACTGCTGTGTTGCTCAGCACTCTGCCTATTCCTACGGAGGGCACTTGCTTGGATGATGCGGCAACAATACAGTATTTGTCTGATGTTGAGCTGCTTTGCAATGAGTTACCACCAACACTGCTGGTGCTCAGCAACAATATGACAGTGACTGTCAATCTTTAGATACATTCCATCGATCAATCAATTGAAGCAAGCAAGCAATGAATTAACAAAGCCGCAATATTCCCATGATTGACAGCTAGTTTAGCACGGATCGGGTCAGACTACTCTGGCCATGTGCAGTCTAAGTGAGCGAAATAGCACAGAAACACACGCACCAAGGACAATGTCTCCAACAAAGATGGCGCAAGCCGAGTCATGGCCAACAAAGGATGACAAAGATTGCTAGCCAGGAACAGCCTTGAGAAAGCTTTTCAGGCACAGGAACCGAGGGTTAACCAACAAATTAGACTGGACCTTTGGCCCAAGACCTCGATATAGTTTTATGTGAATTCTTGCAGAGTCTCTTAGAATTGCAGGGGCCATCTTACTGGAATGGTCTCGATGTTCTGGTATACTTGATTGTGGATAAGCATTAATTTTTGGTGGCTTGCTGCCATGAATCATGGGCCACATGGCTGTCCACGCCGTTCTCCTCTCTTCGGCCATTCTCTCGTCAACTGGAATTGATTAACGAGACTGATTTATTTTGAGAGATTTTGGACCGGCTTGTGCTCCTGCTTGGGTTCCCTGTCTCTTTGGAGGAGATGGCTGGGCTGAGCTAGGTTGGTGCCTCTCAGGTCCAAGCACAACCTCGTGTCACCCAAACCGCATTCTTGGGATGCAAACTCTTTGTGGTGAGCTGTGCCGTGTTCCCACCATCTTTGACGTCTTGTCGAACACACTACGTACGTGCTACGCAAGCCCAAAAAAAACTCCAAAGGTTGAGTTGCCCCCGCACAATGACAATTCAGTTACTGCTTAGCGTTGTCATCGGGACCTCCGAGCCGCCATAGGTAAGACGCGGCGTATACTATTTCGATTTACTCTAACAAGGTTTGCAGTTCTTCAACCACGAGAAACTTTATCCTGTCTTTTCCCCAGAAGCTCGACCGCTGACGCCCTTTCAAGATCCAGGACCCCTCTCGTCTATCAGTCACTTACATTCCAGTCGCCCAACCTGCCACCACTTAGTCTGAAAAAGGGGACTGATAGCCAAGGTTTTCTTATAAACGAATGTTGAAGGGCCGCTCAAAATCAGGTTTTGGGGGATTTCTTGCTCTCTTATCTATGAACCTCTGAGACATTAGTCTTGGGAGCCTTCAGACAAGCCCTCATTTTCCCGCCCCAACCTCTTCGCTCGTTACGATGCCTTCTTGGACCATCACCAACGACGACAAGATGAGCAGTTGGCGGGACCAGCTCTCGCCTCGGAACTTGAGTTTCCGGGGCTTCAGAAGAGCTTCAGAGTCAGTAGCAAAGACAAGCTCAACGGCGAAAACAGACTTTACCATGATGCATTATCCTGACCGGCCTACGAGGAGGATCACTGAGGCCGATATTCCCAATGACGAAGAGTGTAAAAAGTCATTGGTGAGAATGAGAAAGGCTTCTTTTGCAGAGCAAATTCAGCATCGAAGAAATGACTACCACCATCAACATCAAAACCAGTTATCTGCAGTACCAGAACCAGCACCTACACCTGAAGAACCATTTACATTAAAATTGCCTACATCAAAAGTGTCCCGGATCGAGGCGCCTCGGGTAGAACTACCACCACCACCGTCACCACGAGCTCAGCCAGAACAGCCTCAAGTAGAGAAATCGCGAGCACAGCAACCGTCGAGATTAACATTTGGCCCTTTCAATGGTCCATTCCGACCAGCTTACGGGTCACTTTCACCAGCTCAAGAAGAGCCAGAAAACGCCGACAATGATGAGCCTGCAGCAACAGCGCAGGGTGGACTACAAGTACCAGAGCCAGCGATTGATATTCGAAAAAGTATCTTGGCTGTCGACGACCTCAACTTGGCAACGGGGCCAGCTGCTTCGCCGGTTGTGATCAGCGAGGCCAAAACTATCAGACTCGAACGAGTCGAACGAATCGATAGCACCCCCGCCGCTTCACCATTCTCATCACCACGGCCCAGCGATGCTTCATCAATAGGATGGCCCAAGCGAAAACCATCAGTACAAATGGTTGCTATCCGTCCATCATCACAGGACTCTCAGAGGCGAAAGCCTTCTGTTCACACAGTTGTTGTGCGACGCCCTTCAACAAAACCTCATATAGATGCCCTCAGCTCTCATCCAACTCACTCATCTACTACCGCGCAAGTCCACGTTCGACAGGATAGTGTGTCAGACCTAATGTGTCGCATATGCCATAACGGAATTGCCGAGAGATCTGGTACCTGTTCAATCTGCGACAATGACTCAATGACAGCCACTCCCGTCGAGATTAGCCCCAACTTTTCAAGACTTCACAATAAGCCAACTATCAAAAAGTACAACCGCCCTCCACCACTGGTCTCTCAATCTCTCAACGGCATCGCAAAACTTCACCGTCCTTCGGCATCTCTCACATCAGACCCCGAAGCCAATCAGATCTCACCACCGGCTTCACTGCCAGGGTCACGCAGTAGCAGCACAGCGGAGACTGTCAAGAGTCTTGCAACCGGACCGTCTGTACCTCCAACGCCCATGTCAGCGCTCTCGACGCCTGAAGTATTCAAGCGGTTCAAGGAAGAGGTTGAAAGCCGAGCCCAGGCAGTCGATGGTCCTGCATTCGACGATCCTTGGATGGCCAAGTCTAGGACTCCAGAAGATGATGTTTATGAGGATGACTGGGCAGACTACTACTTTGACGAACAAAACTTCAATGCCAGGCCTAGTAAGCAAACTGAAAGCCAGGCGCCTGATTTGCACTTCGTTACAAGCCCAGTTTGCCCAGGCCCAGGCTGGATATGAAATTTACATAAAAGGGATTCCATGTAAAAAGACTGTACAATGTTTGTATTTCAAAATTTAGGTAGCGGGTTGATTTTTCTATATCCCTGGTCAGATAGCGACAAGCATATCTTTCAATCATGAGTCTATGTTTCTTCATCAACATTCATTTTCGTCTCTTCGTGACGTCTTTTTCCTCATCTTTCTCTATATCTAAGTTCCTTCTGTTTCTCTATACATTTTACTCTATAGAATTTTAGTAACGGCCAATCCACTTGAATCGCCGCCGTCTAGTTCTATCAAGCCACCAGCTTCAAGCCTCTTCTTCCACTTGTTGCTCTCATATCGCGCAAAAATCATGGTCATGCGCAGTGTAACATCACTACTTGAGTCGTGCTCTTGTAGCGCTTCCACAACGGGCGTGAACGTCCAGCGACCGAACGCCCAGTTGAGGATGTACCGACCTGATGCGCCGGGCTCTGGCTTGGGAATATCAGGGTCTGAGTTTGTTGGTGTGGTGGACAGTGAGACGAGAGCCTTGATGCGGTAAGCCTCGTCTTTGGGCGCAGAGGAGAGGAATGCAATGAGCTTCTCGGTATTTATGCGGGCTGTTGGATCAGCCTTGAGGACAACTGAGAGAACCTCAACTTCACTCTGGTGATTATGCGAGTGGCCGTTTGTTGTACCGTTGGAGTGCTCATGGCTGTGACCGTTGGTCTTCTCGACATCCGATTCTGTCAACTCTTGCGCTAAGCCACCATCCACACCAAAAATTATGTCCATAGGGACTCTGCCCTTGTCGCTCTTGACCTTGGCCACATCTACCTCCAAATCACCAACTCGATCGAGACACTCGTCATATCGCAACATGCTGACATTCTCCCACTTGTTGAAGACGATGAGATCGGTGTAGCGCGCCTGGATACGGGCTGTGTAACTGGTATCCTCGTAGCCCTTCCAATTCTCAACATCGATGACACTGATGACACCGTCAAGGATGTACTTTCCAGACTCGCGCGCAAGGCGGTTCACCTCAAGAGCGAGAGTCGCAGGGAAAGCAGACCCGCTAGTCTCGATAACGATTCGGTCGGGGGTGACGGTGTCTTCGAGTTCCTTGAGCGCAGGGCCGAGCTGGCCAACGAGGTTACAGCAGATACATCCGTTCAGCAGCTCCTGAACACCTGAGATGGAAGAGTTTGCGGCGAGTTGGGAGTCGACTGCGAGATCGCCGAATTCGTTCTTTAAAAGGGCGAGTTTGTAGTCAGGGTTCTTGGCGCGAAGTTGCGGGATGAGGTTGAGAATGAGTGTCGTCTTGCCCGAGCCCAAGAAGCCCGTGACAATTGTGATCGGAATTTGTGGCATCTCTCTGTTCTTGCGACGCTATCGAAGGTGAATACAGTATGTCAAAGTTTTGTTCCTGATAAAATACCTCTTCAAAGTGTTAGACAAACAATCAGTAATTGTTGGGTGATGGTCAGCCCATCAGAGCGGCCCGATAAGATAGACATTTGACCGTTATCGGGCCTTATCGGGCACGACCCCACCATCTGCTAATTGACGTCACCCGCGAGGTTGGACAAAGCTGAAGTTTAGAGGGACAGTACAAGACGCATCGATCTACGCCAATTGCGTATGCCAATGCCCAGATACAAGCCAAGGAAACACGGTAGTTGAGGTTACTTCATCAATAAATACGATTATTCACCTGCCTCTTTCTCTTCCCGTTCCATAATCTTATTCAGAGCATCATCCTTTTTCAGGAAACACGACCGTATAACACAGCAAAGATGACTTCAGAGAACAATAACATCAAGAAGGAAACCTTCAAGACGCAGCTCGATAAGGCTGCGGACAACACTCGCGAGATGGAGAACCAGAAGCCTAACCCCATTGTCGAGAAGAGTAGGTTCTTCAGAAAACATTGTATCAACAAATAAATACTAACATTTCCTCAGTCACAGAATATATCCCTGCGGCCGCCAAGGTCTTGCCCACTGGCCAAAGCCCTCCAAAGGAAGAAGACAAACCCCCAGGACCTCCCGAACGACCGCATCACGATCACAAGATTGAGGATTTTGTGAGGGACCAGCACAGAAGTCAAGGCATTGAAAGTGTTTTGGGGCATGCTTCCAATGACGAGTAATGATGTTGTACTGATCAAGGGAAGGGTTACTGCACATGTATTTAGGCTTTCCGCGAACACGAATGAATGATCTTATGATTCACATGCTTGATGTTTAATTTGACGTGAAGCTGCATCCAGAAGTGCCGTGATGATCAACGCTAACAAACGCATCAAGGATCAATTATCCTGGTCACTGACAACGATATTTGAGCCTCATGAGCTTTGACATGAGCTTGCCGATGATGTAAAGTCTTGGTTCGCATGGATCTTGTTCCTGTGAAGCTCGAAATAGCTGTGCCTTGGAAGCAGCCCTTGGAAGGTGCATACAACAACGCAAAACACGAGTGCGAGATTCACAATCAAGACAGCAGGAAGCGTATTTACGGCAACGAACACGCTGGGTTTATCCAGTCGCGCACAGCACACAAAGCTACTAGTCAAATTATCAAAATCCTTTTCAGGATGATGAGATGTCCCCCCTTCTTGGCATTACACCGCCTACAGAGACCGATGCGAAACATCGACGCTGGCGGAGAATTTCCTATATCCAAGGGTTATAATCTACTGAGCGATTCCCTATGTGGGAAAGGCAACGCGACACCGTGGGAGGTTAACCTGAAAGGTCGGGTGAAGGTCGTGGCGGCTCAGAAAACAATTAAAAATTGCTTTTTGATCTAAGGAGCAAAAACAAAAGAGATCGGGAGAAAGTCGAGCTTATATAGGCCTCGAAAAATCTGCAAGCGGGGCATCCTGTGTGATTATTCAGCAACAAATTTACCTATGGGACTGCTCCACCAAATTTTCTGTTAGAGGTGGTTGGGAAGTGGACACGGCGGGACTTCAATGTCTTGAGTGCTCAACTTACCCTACAAGTTGACATGATTTTTTATATTCAACCTCAGGTACTGGAGTAAATGAGTATACACAAAATCATTCTTGATCTGTTTTCTAAATATTTCTGAAGAAATATATATACTGTAAATGGTTTGAAATACATGATTTACCGTGACAATTCTATGCTCTTCAGCCTAACTATAGAGATATGTGTCCCATCATCTTACGTACGAATCCACTTCAGCAAACCATGATTAAAAAAATCAAATTTAGGTCTCGGTGTGTTATCCCAGGGATATGACAAATTGACACGAGATACATTGATGGAAGTACTATTATTGTTTGAGCACAATGTTATCCGAAACCTCGAGGGAACTCTCGTCGTAAATATGGCATGAGATTATAGTGCCTAGCTTATCACACCCAGTGAGATCCATTTGAGATAATGCGGTATCGGTACGTTCGAATAGTCCAGATATTCTCGATAATTGGTCAATATTAGGTACTTCATATGCATAAATACAAGAAGTCCAAGTTACCAGCTTAGTTCTACATGCTGGCGATCCGTAATAACTTATTAAACAGGCAGGTCTATCAACAACAATGCAATCATTGAACCATTATCCAGCTAGGGTTTCCTAAGCCCTTTACCCAACAGTTCAGTGCCAACTTCTGTGATCAGTTTCTCGTCAGGAAAATTTGACTTTTTAGCCAAGATGCTATCCTGTGCACCAACTGCCTGGAGAAGGTCTGGCAGCTCCCCATCGAGTGGCGTGCCATAAAGCAAGTGGCCTAAAGCCAACAACATCCCATGTAATGCCTCTGAAGACTTTTCCTCCAGTGATATGGCCTCCACCACTGACGCGGCAAGTTCCAGTTCATCATCTCCTGACAAAGTTGGCTTTGAACCATTTCTGGCTTTTCGGGTTGCCAGTGATAAATTGAAAAGAAGCGATGAAGCTGCAACCCTCACATTGCTGTGGCTCTCATCTAGGAAACTAGACGAGATGAGAAGAATGATTGCCGCGCGCAACGAGCTGTCCCGCATGATTTCCTCAGGGAACAGGGGCGTCGAGAAGAAGTTGCAGGCCATCTGCAGCGTGACAAGGCGCAGAGCATAAGGGCAGTCTGTCTTTTGAGCGACTGATTCTAGTACGGCTATAACCGTTTCATGGCTCTTCTCTTCTGCAAAGAAGCCACTGATTCTAGGGTCTGAGAGCGCACATCTGAACAGGTCGACAATAGTGAAGAGGATGTCGATGGGTAATGATGTGACTGAATCTTTGATGAGACTCGACAAACGGCCCATATCAGGGATAACTGCACTCGAAGGGCCGTCCTTTGTTCGGTCTTCCAGATACTGCTTGAGAGCCTTGACTTCAGGCTTACTAGAAACCTCAGAACCCATCTTCGCCATGAGCTTGTCCAACGGTGGAACTTTGGTGTAAAGTACCGGCTTTACATTCGGGCTGGAAAAAGTAGGAAGACGTAATCGCTCATGAGGATGAACAGGGTGGGCCATCTGAACGAGAAGCTGTACGTTGCCTCGGAGAGCAGCCGGGTCAGCCCCTGACCACCTATTCTCCTCCTCGCCACGGAGGAATGTCACGATAGTGGGTGTTGCTCTGATCAAATATCGACTTCCGATTTCATGCTGCTGAGGCTGTGAAATGTCGACTTTCATGAGAATCGCCTTATCACCAACTTCGTCCGCGAGCTCGTCATAAATCGGGTAGAGCGTTTTGCAAGGCGGGCATGTTGCCGACGTGAAGAAAACGACCGCACATGAGTTCTTTGCTGCACTCATCAAACGATCAAATTCAGATGCTTTGGTAATGTTCTTGACACCATGCTTTGGAGTTGCAGCTGGTGCCTGAGAGCTCTCCTGCAGTCCAAGTATAGAGCCACCCTGTCTTCCTGCGTTGATCCCCTGAGTGAGCTGAGGAAGCAACATTCGACCCATGGGCGAGTCGAGGACAGCTTGTGGCATCTTGACGATGTGCTCGGGAATACCCTTTCCGAGTAGAAAGTTTGCGAACGAATCTGAGAAATTATTGCAGTTGTGGTGAAACAAGTCGTACGCCTATGCATTGTCAGAGATGAGCGCAAGTGAGTTATAGATTGGTAGTACCTCTAATGTAAAGATTGGTCTTAGAGAATCGAGAAACTCTTCAATGACATCCATAGGCAGATTCGTCGTGCCAAGAGGGATCTTTTCCAGTGGCTGACCGAGATGTGAGGAGCCTGGCCTAATCGCGATGATGCCTCCATCATAGACGTACTCTTTGCCGTTAAGCTCTATCGAGGTGTGGTATATGGCATCGAGTTGAAAGCCCAGAATGCCCACGGACATTTGACGAGCTAAACCTCGTGAGAGGTCATAAACAAAGAGTTGCACATCCATTTCTTGTCGCTAACTTTAGGAGATGAATGAATCTGATGCGCGTAGGTGTTTTAGTTATGAAATGACGTCTAATAAATGGTGTTGTGCTTAGGAAAGGATTTCGGAGAGAATAAAAGTGGTTATTTATTATCATGATATCGAAAAGGTTGGTAGAATATGAGCTACTAATCTATCTAGCATTCGTAAATGAAGCAGGCAACATTGCGTACGACTGGAACATTCTGGAGGCGCAGACTTAAAAAGGTCTACGCAAGAGGCAAATTCAGGCATTGTGGTGATGACAACAATAAACGTGATAATACAGAGGTTTATTACTAGACAGGGACACTTGTGAGATTTCAAAGATGCACCCAAAATATACGACTTTAATCATTTGTCGCTGTAGTGAACACTTTCTCAAACTTCATGACATCAAACAATGTCTTGTCCTGACGATTTAGCGGTGGGGCATCTAAAATTAGGCGACTCTTCACTTTCAGGGGCGTGGAGATCGTTTTGCTTAGGGAAGACTAGCCCCTGATAGATGCAGATGCGGCGTACAACCATCGCCATGACCGTGGAGGTGCGGGTGCTTCTTGATGCAGATTGGCTGCAAGATACAAACCAAACCTTTTCCGTCTGATAAAAAAAAGTATACGACCCCCCTTTCCCTTCCATTACCAGCCTGCGGCATTGATTGCCAGCTTGTCAAAAGTAACCTATTTCCTCATCTCTTTTTGATGGAAATTAATTCCTCTTTGCCACGCTCCAATCTCCTTCTACTCCAAGTCACCCTCGTTTTGACATTCCTACCCCCTACCTAAAAAAAGGGACCCTCCAATGCTCGACCGAGTCCAGGCCCTTTAAAGACAATCTTATCTCCCTTCTCGCGAGACCCGCGCTCATGAGAACACCCACATCGCCCTCTCCATCAAAGTTGCCAGGCTTCGATCCTCACGAGAAACCAGACCGATACAAGTTCAAGCCCAAAAGGCAAGGAATTATTGGCAGGATGAAGGAATCTTGGATGACGCAGTCCCAGCGAACGAGGTGGATTAAGACTGCCGCCATCGTCTTTGCGATCGTTACCCTCTTTTACTTCATTTCCCCTAAGGGTGTTGAAGTGTATCACGAAGGTACGACGAGTGGAGGTAGTAGCAGCAGTCGATCGAGTCTCAACAACCTCATGCTAATGAACCGATAGTTACCCAGCCCGCTCACAGTAGCAACAATGGACAGTCACCCTCCGATTCTTCTTATGGTACCGAGCGATGCACCAAGTCCTTCTCCAAGGATAAGCCTATTGTCCAGTATGTTCTCATGATTGATGCCGGCAGCACTGGTTCGCGAATCCACGTCTACAAGTTCAACAACTGCGGTCCCACACCCGAGCTCGAGCATGAGGAGTTCAAGATGACCGAAAAGGAAGTTGGCGGTCTGAGCAACTACAAGGGCGACCCTGTGGCCGCTGCCAAGAGTCTCGATCCTCTTCTGAAGGTCGCCATGGACACTGTTCCCAACGCTCTTAAGGGCTGCACTCCCGTTGCCGTCAAGGCCACCGCTGGTCTTCGAATGATTGGAAAGGAACCCGCCGACGCTATCCTCGACGAAGTCCGACGACATCTCGAGCAAGATTACCCCTTCCCTGTTGTTGACAAGGAGAACGAGGGCGTCGTTATCATGGACGGCTCTCTGGAGGGTGTTTATGCTTGGATCACTACCAACTACCTGCTAGGCAAGATTGGCGGCCCCGATAAGAGCGAGACTGCCGCCACCTTTGACCTTGGTGGTGGCTCTACCCAGATTGTTTTCGAGCCTACTTTCAAGGGCGTCGCTGATGGCGGTATGCCCGAGAAGCTTGCCGAGGGCGACCACAAGTACGACCTTGACTTTGGTGGCCGTCACTTCGAGCTTTACCAGCACTCTCACTTGGGTTATGGTCTGATGGCTGCCCGCAAGGCCATTCACGGAGCTTTGATCAAGGACCTCACTGCTTCCAAGGGTGATGACAAGAGCTGGTTGAAGGAGCCCATTGTCAACCCTTGCATCGCCCCCGGAATGACCAAGGCTGTCAACGTCACCCTAGATGGCAGCGAGGATCTGACTTTGGTCACCTTTACCGGACCCTCTCAGCCTGCTCCCGCTCAGTGCCGCAACCTGGCCGAGAAGATTCTCAAGAAGGACGAGAAGTGTGATCTTGCTCCCTGCTCTTTCAACGGTATTCACCAGCCTCTGCTGTCCAAGACCTTTAGCAAGGAGGATGTCTACATCTTCTCCTACTTCTTTGATCGCACTAAGCCTCTGGGCATGCCTGACTCCTTCACACTCCGTGAGATGCACGACCTCACCCAGACTGTTTGTATGGGTAAGACTGCTTGGGACGTTTTCACCACCGTCCCCGAGGCCATGGCGGAGCTTAACGACCGACCTGAGTGGTGCTTGGACCTCAACTTCATGATGGCCCTTCTCCACACTGGTTACGACATGCCTATTGATCGTGAAGTCAAGATCGCCAAGAAGATCAAGGGCAACGAGCTCGGCTGGTGCCTTGGTGCTAGGTACGTTTTGCAATTAATGACATTTGTTCTTTACTAATATTATTTGTAGTTTGCCTCTTCTTGCAGGCGGTTCTGGCTGGTCTTGCAAGGTCAACCAAATTGCTTAAAGATATACCACAGGATACAAGGCGTTGAATAGAGATGCATAACGTTTTTCTTTTTACTATTAGACCAGTCCTTTACGAACGGCAACGACTTTTGGGATATGGCAAAATCATTACAATGAACTATCAGCATCATGAAGCTACAATGGACTAGAATGCAAGTACGGATTGGCTTTTGCGGGAACTGGAGTCCTCGACTTGCCATGACGTGTAGATTATTAAAGAACTATTTAATACAAGGTGCCCGCCTTATACCGGCGCGGTCACCATGCCCAGGACATCTTCTATAATGTCTTCAGGACCAATGTCTTCTAGTAGTGCTTCTACTGCTTCTATTCTACTGCCCCATTGCATACTCCTCTCCTTTTCTGGAGGCGTCAACTGGATTCGATGCAAGTAAACCTTGGAAGTAGCAAGGCCAACAAGAGCTGGCGTTACAAAGTCTAGACCATGCAAAGCAGCAAGGCAGCGTATGAGTTGGCCGAAGTGCTTAGTAGCCGTAGGGCTGATACCTCCAGCGACAGCTCGGTGCATACGAAGGAATGAAACGATGTTCATCTGGTAGCGGGTAACTTCAATATCCACTTGGGCCTCTTTGCTCAGAGTGCCAAGATAGCTAATGTCCTGTCAATGGTTAGTTGTGTATCCCATAAACATGAAAAGAAGCAACGTACAGTCTCGACGATCAAAGGCGGAGTCGAGGTGGTTCCCTCACCAGGGCCCCTTTTCACAACACTGCCTGTCGATGCGGTGTCTGCATCGTTACCAGCATCTGCTTCATCCAGATTAACGAAGCCATCCTCGGGATTATGCCAATAAGTCATATATAAAAAGTCATTCAAGTGCGCCGTTACACGAGCCTCGCCTCCACTGGCTGCCTGTAATACCGGAGCAAAGACAAATTGCTTCGGGGCAGTTTGTACAGAGGTTCGTGTAAATATACGACGGGTTCGGAGGAGTTCCAAGGCCTGGATTTGAACGGCTTGTGGTGCTCGATCGAGGTTTTTTGCAAGGACGACGTTGGCTATCTGAGACGCGAAAGCACCGCCGGGAGTAAGAGGACTCAGCGGTGTGCGCGGATGCGACGTGGATGGCCTCGATGTAAAGTACGAATCAGGGTTACGCAATGCTGTAGGCGAGTGGCTTGAGGGAGAAGCTTGATTGCCTAGGAGAAGAGCAGAGGCAAAGTCTTCAAGGGTCGTGGAAGGAGTACAGTCAATGACAACCCAGCTGAGCCCAAAGGTCTTTGTAGCCACCAGTTGTAGTTCCTGTATTAAGTCGTCGATAGCTTCAGAGGGTGTGCTAACAAGGCAATGTTCGCGACTAATTAAACAGAGAAGTAAGGCCAGCTCGAGATCGCTCAGAGCGTGGACCTTGTTAAGGAGGCCGTCATCCGCCATGGTTCAGCCGTATTGATTTTGGTGATACATCCATGAGGCCTGGAGTGCTGATCGGTGAAGCTCACCAAAATGGCAACTGGCACTAAGTAAAGTATCCCTTAATCATGGCTGGTCAGTGTCGCATGATAGAGCTACATATGATGTCACGTGGAGATATAAAACGACCAACCACCTTTGAACCCACTTCTTGACTTATGCATACCGCTAAACTAAAAAGCGTCTAGCGCTACAGACATCACCTCGAGCGACCGACGAGGCTGCGACATTGGTACCTCCGCCCACCGTCATCTGCCGCCGCCATCTCCAAACAACACCAACCTTTTGTGAATCCGACATTTCACGACTGGACTTCTGTGCCAGATCAGATACAATAGCAGAGGGTCTGTCATTCCACGAACAGACAAAGCGACTTGAACGATAGAGAACTACGACTTCGGAAGAAGCTAGAAACCCGACGGCGCCTCGACAATTGCGTTTCGAAGGCTTGAGATAACGTCATTGAACACCGATCCCTTTTCATAAACGATCATTCACCATGTCTTCTCGAAAGAAGGTTCTTCTCAAGGTGCGATATGATAGAAAAACTGTCCAGAATCTTTCGGGACCTTGAGTATTGATACAATAGTGGAATAGGTTATCATCCTGGGCGATAGCGGTGTTGGGAAGACCAGCTTGATGAACCAATATGTACGCAGCCCCAGCTGAAATTGTTTGGAATTTCCCGTGACTGATGTCGATTCTGCAATGATAGGTCAACAAGAAGTTCAGTGCGAGCTACAAGGCTACTATCGGCGCCGATTTCCTGACTCGAGAGGTCCTGGTCGACGACCGACAAGTTACTATGCAGGTAGGATAAAGAGGCACATGTTCTACCTTTTAAGACAAAAAACTAATTGTTCTGGATAGCTTTGGGATACTGCCGGTCAAGAACGATTCCAGTCCCTCGGTGTTGCATTCTACCGAGGCGCCGACTGTTGCGTTCTAGTCTACGATGTCAACAATGCCAAGAGTTTCGAGGCGCTGGACAGCTGGAGAGACGAGTTCCTCATCCAGGCTTCTCCCCGTGACCCTCCCAACTTTCCATTTGTGAGTGGTCTATTAGATTGGATGAAGGAGACGTGCTAACAGGGTTTAGGTCGTGCTTGGCAACAAGATTGATGTCGAGGAGAGCAAGCGAGTGGTAAGTCGACCCGAGTCTGTATACTGATAGTGGTCTAACGTCTCCAAGATTTCCAACAAGCGAGCCATGACTTTCTGCCAGTCCAAAGGCGACATTCCTTACTTTGAGACAAGTGCCAAGGAGGCCGTTAACATTGACCAGGCTTTTGAGGGTGAGTACTTTTCCGTGATCGTTGTTGTTCAGACTAACAGTTTGTAGTCATTGCCCGTAACGCTTTGGCCCAAGAAGAGTCTGAAGAGTTCAGCGGCGACTTTGATGACCCGATTAACATCCACATCGAGAACGACCGCGATGGCTGTGCTTGTTAAAGGAGTGGAATGGACTAAGAGCGGTGGTTGAAGAGGAGGGTACTTCGCTGATGGATTATTGATATTGCCTGGAAGTATACTGCATACTGAGGCAGCCTGGGTTTAGTCTTTTTGTTTCTCATTGGTGTTCATACATGGATGCGAGTTCTCTTTCTTTTAAATCATGTTTAGCTCTTGGTGACAGTGATGTCAATCTTGGGCAGTATCTAAAGATGCCTTGTGTAGCTAATGTCCCACTACTGATAATTCGGGTATGTCTGGAGACAGCCGAGAGATATCAGCTATCGGGCCACTAGCTGATTAAAGTCGATCCATCATCAATCCTAAGTCAAGCTTTAATCCATAACTGGAAGCCTGAAGCTTTGAGTTGTCAAGGTCCGAGGCATTAGACCCACTCAGCTCCGAGGCCTGCGGAGAGCTCCCAATGATAGCGACAAGTACCCCGGATTTCAATGTCTCCACTTGTTATTCCTTGAGCCGTGAGAGGTGCAAATCGTCTAGTCAGCAGCCGCGAACCTCGGCTCCATCAAACCTGGACATTCGATAATGTGCGGAGAAGTTGGAGCTGGACAAACCTGGGGTAGAATTAATTTACTACAGCTTGTACTCTGTTTCTTCATATCTTTAGACAATCCCTTTTCTCTTTCTCATTTTCTCATTTCCCAAGACATTGCTGTTGAGATACTCTGCCTCATCACTTGTGACGACTATTACCCCTTACTACATCATACTATAATCACCATCCACAAGTCCACATCAAAACTCTACAATGTCTGCGCGAATCCCAGCCATTGTATGTGACGCTGTCCTTCGATAATCAAGACGAACATAAACTAACATCGTCGACTTAGGCTGCCAACCGCGTTAGCGATGCTGCCAAGAAGCAGCTTGACCTCGTCGCCAAGTTCGTTGAGGAAGAATGCATTCCGTCAGTTCTCATCCTACATTCGCGCAAACCCAATTCTGACCTTGAATAGTGCCGACCCTGTAGTAGAAGCCCTTGCTGGCGAGGGTGATGCCCGCTGGGAAGGCCACCCATCTATCATTGAGGACTTGAAGGAAAAGGCCCGCAAGCTTGGTCTCTGGAACATGTTCCTCCCCAAGGGTCACTACAAGGAGTCGCCTGGCTGGACTAACCTTGAATACGGCCTCATGGCCGAGTGGCTTGGTCGCTCACACGTCGCATCTGAGGCTTGTAACTGTGCCGCCCCTGACACGGGTAACATGGAGGTATTGGCCAAGTACGGCAATGACGCCCAGAAGGCGCAGTGGTTGAAACCTCTTATGGACGGCAAAATCCGCTCAGCTTTCCTCATGACAGAGCCCCAGGTCGCTTCCTCAGATGCCACCAATATTGAGCTAAGCATTCGTCGCGAGGGCAACGAGTATGTTCTCAATGGCCAGAAGTGGTGGTCCAGCGGCGCTGGTGACCCACGATGCAAGATCTACATCGTTATGGGCAAGACAGATCCCGACAACAAGGATCCTTACAGTCAACAGTCCGTTGTCTTGGTGCCTGCTGAGACACCCGGTATTACTATCAACCGTATGCTCAAGGTCTACGGTTTCGATGATGCGCCTCACGGTCACGGACATCTGACATTCAACAACGTGAGAGTGCCTGCCTCTAACATTGTGCTCGGAGAGGGACGTGGATTTGAGATTATTCAGGGTCGTCTAGGACCTGGCCGTATTCACCATGCTATGCGCAGCATTGGTGCCGTAAGTTTACCCGCAGCTTCATACTAAAGAAAGCTGTGCTAACAACACTACAGGCTGAGCGCGCTCTTGACTGGATGCTCCTCCGAGTCAACGATGAATCCAAGAAGCCATTCGGCAAACTCCTCCGCGAGCACGGTGTTATTATTGAATGGATCGCCAAGTCCCGCATCGAAATCGACGCTGCTCGTCTCATTGTCCTCAACGCAGCCATCAAGATGGACGAGCTAGGTCCCAAGAAGGCCCTCAAGGAGATCGCAGAAGCAAAGGTCCTCATTCCTCAGACAGCACTCACCGTTATCGACCGTGCTATTCAGGCCTACGGTGGTGCAGGTGTCTCTCAGGATACCCCGTTGGCGTATATGTGGGCCGGTATCAGAACATTGCGACTGGCCGATGGACCTGATGAGGTGCATCTGCAACAGATGGGACGTAACGAGAACAAGCGTAGCGCGGAGGCGACTGCTACGATCAAGAGGCAGAGGGCCAAGACTGAGGAGTTGTTGAAGGCTTATGGTGTTGAGAGACTTCAGCCTGGTGCTAGGATACAGCACAAGGCTAAGTTGTAAGGTCGCGGATGACTAGTCGAGTTAGTAGCCACATATTTGTTTGTTTGCTTGAACATGGACAATTAGAATATCTAAGTTGTTGGTTTATTGAAAATTCATGATATTTCATAGGTTGCGCTCTGACCATAGCCAATTCAAAAACCCCATTAACCTAGTAACTCCTATTTCATCCCAAGGGTACACTGATCTTGACTATAGTAACAAAGGCAGGTAAACAAGAAATTCTTCCAATAACAAAAGAAGAACGGAGCAGCAATTAGGCTATTTTAGTCTGAATAGACATGTCACTGTGGCATTTGGCAGAGGTACTTAGGACAAAAAGGATAGCTGTTGTCATATGGATGTTGTTTCACACATTCAACCTTCTCAGTCGCAATTGGACATTGGTGTATATCAACGCATCGTATACCCCTATTATGAGTCAATACCCAACCCCTTTCCCTTCAAAATCACACCTTCAGGGTCCAAGCTATTAAACACAAGTCATGCCATGGACTCCTATTACCCCAGTGATGGTGCGCTGTTCACGGCTTGCCCGCGTTAAACATAGGCCTCAGCGTGCCATTTCTCACAGTGGAGTCTATTACAGGCCTTGCCCTGTACGTATCCGTCGGGTCCATTCCAGTAATTAGTACGGTAGAACACGGCAACAACCAACGTCATCCGATCGCTGCTACCCCCGTATCCTTGCAATTTTCACTAATTGCCCGTTGCCCCATCAACGTCAGGCACCGTTTACTTTGCCTGCTAATTTTCTGCTAGTTGTGCATGGCACGCCTATTTCATAGACGGCACTACCCTTAACATAAAGAACTCGCAACTCATCACAACTGATTCTTTCATTCACCTACACATACACATACACATAGAAAGAATCAAAGAACCGCCAATCTTTCTCTCTCCAATCGACCTTGTTTCCTCTTCATCATACACACTTTGACTTCCTTACTACTTTCAACGCTTCATCATGTCTGCCAAGATTCTCGCCGATAAGGACGTCAACGCTCCCATGACTGAGCAGCCAGCCGTCAAGGACGTTAAGAGCATGGAATACCACCGTCAAGCCTTCCATTCCAAGATGGCCGACGAGGAGACGTAAGTGACTTTGCCTCAAGAGATGAGTATTAGTTCCTAACATCGAAACAGTGACAAATACGTCTCGCCATCCGACGGCATCATGAGCCCTTGCTCTCAAAAGATCAGCGCTCTGCGAAACAAGCACGCCAGCAAGTTCGTCTTCCTCATCACCCTATTCTCTGTATCAACCAACTAACAATCCCCTTTCAGAGCCAAGCCCAAATCTCTCTTCGCCCAAGCGAGCGCTAAGAAACTCCAAGGCGATAACCCCTTTGGCGCAAGGCCAGCACCAACCAAGGGTGCCTTCCAGCTGTAAAGCATCGTTTTGTTTCATTTCAATTCGAGTATATTCCACTTATTCGGGATGCTCCTTTTGCTTTTTTGTGGGCTAGTGGCTTTTAGCCCACGGTGTTTATTTGAACCGCTGGAGGTCTGGTTTAGGGCGTTGGGGGTTCACTTGACGTACACATATACACGCACATCAATGGTGGTGTAGGATTGCACACTTTGGCTTGTAATGACATGATGCAATGACAGGGCTTGACTTGGCTTCTTTTCTGGTGGCCGGTTTATGTACGATCTTTATCAATACAACATGGTTTTGACATACGAAACATTGAACGCGTGCGATATTGGATATGATGACGTTTTTGTTGAATTTCTAAGTAAAAGGCGTATACATCTATGCTTTCCAGGCGGTGCAGATATACACAACATCCTCATCCGCCACGGGGTGACTCAGACCAACTCGTTGCGGAATATGTCTTGCACTGGCACCCCACACCATAGCATATTTGAACGTATCCTTGAGGGTCCTGTGGATACGATCACACACATCCTCGATAGTGCTGTTGCTGCGAACAATTAGAGCCTCGCTGAAATCGGGTTCTGCGCCCTTGCGCTTGGTGTAGATGCGGATCAGCTTGAGTTCCTTCCAGCATCTGTCGATGACATCCTGAATGCCCAGATCATCCTCACAACTCATGACGACCGTGTGGTCCTCACGTGCCAGCTGGTCGAGGAAGTCGAGTGAGACACTATCAATCTTGTTGTAGACATACAAGCACTTAATGTACTTTCTGTGGTCCTTCATGATAACATCGATGAAATCATCAACTGTGGCGTTTTCATCACGTACGAGAACCTCGCAGTTGAGGATCTTGTAATCGCGCAGAATGTTGTAAAGCATCTTCTCGTCCAATTTCTTGGGAGGGGACGAGAATGTGATTTTCATGCCACCCGCTGTCTTGACCTTGAGGTAGATGTTGCTACAAGTTTCACATTAGTAGCGATTCGAGATTGTCTCGGTTCAAGTACTTACGGTGCCTCTCGGTTGAGACGGATGCCGACTGCCTCCAATTCAGCCTCCAGCAATGCCCTTTGCTCAGCCTTCTTGGTAGCATCAAGGACCATGAGAATAAGGTCACTGGTCTTGGCAGCCGAAATGACCTGTCGTCCTCGACCCTTTCCTTCGGAAGCGCCCTCAATAATACCGGGAAGATCGAGAAGCTGAATCTCAGCACCACCATACTCGAGCACACCAGGAATGGCTGTCAAGGTTGTGAAAGCATAAGAAGCAACTTCTGACCTTGTCTTTGTGACTTTGGATAAGAAGGTTGACTTTCCTACTGAGGGGAAACCGACAAGGGCAATTCGCGCATCACCACTTTTGCTCACATCGAAACCTGAACCGCCACCACCTCCAGCTCCAGGACCAGGTTCCAGCAGCTGCGCTCTTAGTCGAGCAAGTTTTCTGAAATTGTCAGTAACGCGGCTTGGTAAATCATCCAACAGAAAAGAATAAAGGCTAAATCTGAGGCCAGCAGTACTGTTGGGTTGATCAATCTGGACTTACCCTTTTAATAGACCCAAGTGATATTCTGAACTGTGTTAACACTACTGCATAATGGAACGAGATATCCATAGAAACATACCAGTTGCCTTGTTTTCTAAAAGTATGTTAGCAATTATTCGTAATTAGGAGGGTAGATATTTGTCGAATAAAGAAAGGTGTGCAAGGTCAAGTCCAAGTTTGGTGTAGATCTCATGATGGTCTGGGATGGCTATCATGAGTCTCTACCTCGGTCGTTTCCAACAAGGACTCCCACATAGTTTGATTTCAAGACTCATAGAGATTGTGCTTCTCACTCACTTTGCGTCTTCTTCATCTCCTCCTCAATCCTATCGCCATGTCAGTGATGCCCCGCCATTATCCTCAGGAATCAACTTACTCCTTGATCTTTTCCGTGATGTTCACCATCTTGCCGTTTGTTTGAGACGCAGGTGCGCCTATAGAAGCACCTAGAAAAAGAAAGACTAATAAAACAGAGTATAAGTCTCGATTCCTCAGCGCCTGTCTACGATCTAAATCATGAGTGGGGGGTTGAGAGGCCTGATGAAGTGGTGGCAGAATTCGAATAGCAAGCTCCGCAAGCGCTGAGAGTCTGCCTCACCGCTTTCCCTTTCTGACATTTACCTCTCCCCAGAATCTTTTACAGCCAGCCTTGCATCATCAGCACAGGCTTGTCGCGTTGCCACCACAACGACTTTTCGACGATTCATCTCACAAATTCGAAATCATGGCCGACACAGCAGAAGCAGAACAAGTTGAGATGGCGCCGGTCGCTGAGCAAGAGAACCAGGAGATGACAGTAGCGACAACAAATAACGAAGTCGTGGCGCCTACTGGAAAGAAGGTCGTCAAGAAGATTATCCGCAAGAAGAAGCGGCCTGCGCGAGCCCAAGTCGACCCCGATTTCTTCACAACAGAACCCCCTCCCCAAACCGGTACGATCTTCAACATCTGGTACAACAAGTGGTCTGGCGGCGATAGAGAAGACAAGTATCTATCCAAGACCAAGGCCAAGAGTCGCTGCAATGTCTCGAAAGACAGTGGATATACCAAAGCCGACGCGATACCGGGGAGCTTTTTCTGCTTGCGTTTTGCGCGTGGAATTTGCCCCAAGGGTCAAGACTGCGACTATCTTCATCGACTTCCCGGAACATACGACCATTTCAACCCTAACGTCGATTGCTTCGGACGCGACAAGTTCTCCGACTACCGAGATGATATGGGTGGCGTGGGAAGTTTCATGAGGCAGAACCGAACAGTTTACGTGGGGAGAATTCACGTCACTGATGATATTGAAGAGATCGTGGCGCGACATTTCGCAGAATGGGGTCCTGTTGAGCGCGGTAAGTGTTTCAGCCGTTGAAGATGGCAGACATGGTGCTAACTAAAATAGTTCGTGTCCTCAACACCAGAGGTGTCGCTTTCATCACATACGTCAACCAAGCCAACGCAGAATTTGCCAAAGAGGCCATGGCGCATCAGTCTCTCGACCACGAAGAGGTTCTCAACGTTCGCTGGGCAACTGCCGACCCCAATCCCATGGCGCAAGCGCGAGAGGCGCGTAAGATTGAGGAGCAAGCCGCTGATGCGATTCGCAGAGCTCTCCCTGCAGAGTTCGTTGCCGAGATTGAAGGTCGAGATCCAGAGGCCAGGAAGAGACGGAAAATTGAAAGCAGTTACGGTCTTGAGGGATACGAGGCCCCTGACGAAATCCACTTTGCTCGAGGAGCTCAGGCGGTTAATCCTTTGGGACGAGAAGGTTTCGACGTGGAATACCAGGAGCGGCCAATGATTGAAAACGGAGAGACCAGATCAGCCCAGGTGGAAGAGCAACAACCGCAGCAAGAGACTGGCGGCATCTTCTCAGGCAGTACTCTTGCAGCTCTTACTAAGGCAAAGGTGGCGGTAGCATCGAAACCAAAGGCCGCAGCCTCAACAGGGCCCTTGGTGGCATATGGCAGCGACAGCGATAGCGATGATGAATAGGTACAAGGCGCTTTGATTAATTCTTTAAAAATGCATAGATAGATATTTCATGTAACAATAATGATACCACCCAAACAGCTAATATTAATTAGCTGTTGAATATCCTCGAATATAGTATCTCGTGTCGTCCAATCCACAGATCCATAGCAGGCACTGTTTGGCCAGCTTCTTCCACAGGGGTCATCCACTCTCGGTCAATCATGTCGTCAATCATCCTCTGTACCTGTTGCCCAGCTAATACCTTTTGCGCGTGATAAGGACCAAATACATTTGCTCTCACCGCAGCAGAAATCAATGCCTTGACGTGACTCAACATAAAGACGTATGCCGTTTGTCGCAATCCCAATCCGACAAGGGCGCATACCGCTCCGAACAAGGGCGCAAGATGAGCAGAAACTAATGGCACTTCATTCTGGCTCTCCTGTCTTAACAAGGCCGCAAAGTCTTTCAATGCGCGCCCGTCAACATTCGGACAACTTGAGCGGAATGAGCGATCCCATATTCCCAACAACGCACGACCTTGCGCAACACTAGCACGCCGGCCTACAGTACATATAATGGCAGCATCAAGCTGGTCATCTAACTGAGGAAGTCTTTCTGGGTTGCGATGCGCTGCCAGAACAAAAGGGAGCGTCGTCGCAGCGAACGAGGACAACGAAGCTGGAAGAAAAGAGACAAAGGATGCCGAGGCGCGAGGTTCATGGGCTAGATAAGACTCAAGACCGCTGCTAAAGGCGAATGAGCCCAAAGGAAGTGCCGAGTCTGATAAGAGAAGCAGAAAATGAGTTGTTTCGGCAAGATGAGCTATGGTATATGAGGTTATACTCCTTATCTATATGGAATGCTGTGACTTACGTGAGGGAGACAGGGGTGGTGAAGGCTGGACTTTGTTTAAACGCGTCTTTGCATCGTGAAGACGCTTTTCTAATTCCGAAATCTCATCTTGAATAAGATTCGCATCAGTCGATATCAATATTTCGGCAGGCATAATGAGTTTTCAAGTTATTTTACGAGGTTAAGTTGAGTATCAAAATAGCTCGTTGAGAGATAAGACGGTCGAGATAGTTTAAAAAGGCCTAGACTCTTTATCAAAACAAAACCATGACAACCATCATCATGTAAATCCAACAGCCGGGATTTTATCAAATACAACCCCAAACTCCATGCCAATGCCCAATCCAACAGAGTCTTTCCCATACTGATCGACGTACAATTATTAGCAACCACGTTAAAACATCTCAATCCGTTAACCTTCCCCTGCTCAGCACAGTCTTGGTATCTCATATGTACAGTAGACTGACTATCTTGCTCAAGGTCGAACATTCTCCTTGTCAAATCCCCTTCTTCCGCGCATACGCTTCTTTTCTGCCATTCTCTGCTCAATTCGAGCAATTGCTGCAGCTCTGCGCTCGGGTGGTAGTTTCGATGCATTGGCAGTAAACACGCTGTTGTTTGGATCGGGACCTCCGAGTCGTGCATAGTGATCCTGAAGCAAGTCGATCTTTTCATCCATCTTTTCCGTAGAAGTGGTTCGCTTTGACCGAGCAACTGACTTGGCAAGTGCGGGTAGATCAGGAACGGTAATCTCTTCAAAGTTTGGTCGACCGGGAGTTTCACCTCTGTTTTCGATGCGCTTGGTAATTTCCTCGCCAAGGTACGCTCGATTTCTTGGCGATCGCGGAACAAACGGTTGCCATCTAGGCCGCCCAATGTCCGGCTTGCTACCGAGGCTTGCCGAGACCATGTTGGATGTACCGACATCGGATTTACTGACTCTTGGGACAGCGTCGTCCGAGAACTTCTGACGCAGCGAAGGAACATTGGGGTCTGTAGTCTTGAACTCCATTGTGTCTCCTTCCAAGTCACTCAGGTCGAAGCTTCGTCGGGCCATAGTACGCCTCTGGTCTCTGCTGCTTTCATTTGATGGAACGTTTCTCGACTTTGGACCGTCTTCTGCCAGACGGCCAGCGTCTGATTGAATATGCCAGCTCTTCGGTCGGGCAGCATGATCGTCTTGCTCAGGAGCAGCATGATCTGCCACTTTAAGCGTCTTGACCTCCTTCTTGAGTTCTGCAATCTTGGCGTGTGCCCGTTCCAATACTGCGTTTGTATCCGCATTATGGGCTTGAGTTTCGTTGCGATAGGCCTCGAATTCTTGCTTGAGTATGCGCAATTCTTCGTCCTTTTTCTTATTTTCTTCTCGGGCTTCGCGAAGCTGGGTACGTAACTCTTGTGCTCTCGATCCTTCGCGCAGAGGTTCGTCACCAGTCATTTCTTTCGGGCTGGTTTTCGTCTCGCTGTTTACCTCAGCCTTGGTAGCTCGCTTTTCGGCCGCTTTGAGCTGAGTTTTCAGACAGGATATTTGTTCGCGAAGATCATCAACTTCTTTGACTTGCATACGGGCTCGTCTCAATTGACTCTGTGTTTCCAGAAGGGTCTTTTGAGTCCTTGGTGATGTCGTAACCTGCCCTTTACGATCCTTCCAATTTGGATCATCCCCTCGTTCGCAAAGGAATTTTTCAAGCTGGTCCTCCAGCTCCTGCACCCGCGTTCGATATTGCACGGCCAGGGCTGTTTGCTTGGTGAGTGTTGACAGAAGATCAGCGCTGCTTTCATCTGACCTGTCTCCACGCTTTGATGCGATTTTAGAGGCACCTTCGGCAATCTGCTTCTCCATCTCAATCACCTTCTGCTGTTCTTCTTTGAGCTTTACTGCAAGCTCATTCGCCTCCGCGTCCTTCTGTTTCGCGTAGGACTTTGCCAATTGCTTGTACTTGAGCAACTTTTCCATCTCGGCTTTCGCATCCTCGTGGTATTTTTCAAACTCTTCCTTCCAGTATCTGCCCGACTGTGAATGAGGCTCGTTAAGATCGATCGTGATGTCGTGTGTGCAGTAATCCTCGTCATCGGCTTCTTCCCACTCGTCTGAGGAATTGTCTTGTTCTTGTTGCGCTTCGTTCTTTTGATTGACGGACTTTGATGCTTTCTCAAGAGCTTCATTCAAGCGTGTGCGCTGGCGCAATTCTGGCTCCTTGTTTGCATTGGCGTTTTTCTTGACGTCTTGACCGAATGATACGCGTTTCCGTCTTGTTGTGCCCGTTCCTGGAGTAAGAAGTATTCCCTGCGGTCGCTGTGGTGTCCGGGAGGATTCCTGATCCATCCTGGCATTCTTGCCTTTCCCTAATGCTCTCGTGGATTGATTACTGGGCCGCGCTGGTGTTCCAAATAATGCGCTTTTGAATGCTCTGGCAGCAAATACGGGCGCAGGAGTGTCAGGCACGTCAATTTGAGCTGTATCTGGTTGCGAAAGTTAGTTGACTTGTCATTACAGTTTCCTGGGCTAACGGTGCGCACCTCCTTCATTGACTGGCTCTGGCGCGTTCTCTCCGCGTCTCAACATCCAGCCCAACATCTTGTGATAGAGCTGCACGTGAACGAGGGGCAAACGGTTAGATATTTAGTGAAAGAAAAGAGTTCGCATTAGCGATTTTGAAAGTCAGAACAACTGCATTTATATTGAGGCGATCCTGTTATGTTGTTGATTGTTTTGTTGTGGCAGGATAAGATTGGACGGGATGCAGTTGCAGTTGGATGTTAATGTTGACTTTCATTTTCCTTGTGTTTACTTTCAGCTCTGTAGATCATGGCCAAGCAAAAGCGGACAAAGACCCTGGCGCGTCCCCCACCTCCCGGTCCTTCCAAGGAACCTCCACAGCATGGGGACCTGCGCTAATGCAAAATCAGGCATTCCTGCAGCGCGTGCCAGGCGGTACAGGTGACTTTAAACACTAATTGGCTGCCATAAGAACTGCTACGAACCCCTCATCAGCCCTGTGGCCGCCTGTAATTCGATGAAGCGACACCGCCTTTATAAGAGCGTCGCAAACTTGAGTTGGCAGTTGTTAAGTGGAAATAAATGGACGGAGGCAATGGGTAAAGTATTAAAACTACCCCGCCACTGCGACTCGACGTCAGAAGGAGGCTTCTCTTATCTCTCATCCATTTACTGGATGACCTTATCACAACCATTCATCTCAATTTATTATTACTACCATTCGCCGTCATGGCTTCTTCCCTGTAGAGCGTCACGGCTTTTGCTGTGACTCGACTCTCCTCTGGAACCTGCGCAAACATGGCGGGGAAACAACCTGGGGTATGGAAGACGCCCTTGACTCTCAATAACGACACCAATGACTCAAGCTTCCCCGGTCTCCAACCTACTGCGAGTCCGGAGGTCAATAACAAAATCGAATATGAAGAATTACAACAGAACGAGATCCTTGCCCTCGAGGCTATCTATGGCGATGACTTTGTTATGCATTCGGGAACCCAAAGTGCCTGGAAGGTAGAGTCCTACGACGTCCCCCACCCCCGAGCTCCGACTGAGCAACCAAAGCTCACGCCCTATAGAAAACCGAACCACACTTTGACATACGGATAAAGGCATCTAAGGATGAAGACTTTGCTTGTACGTTGAGCTTTGTCATGACTGCCACCTATCCGAAATCCCCACCTCTTATCACCTTGAAGAAGTATGATCTTAAGGAAGTCACCCAGTTTAAGATCCAGAAGTTCTTGGAGACGAAACCGAAGCTCTTCGCGCATGACGAACAAGAGATGATCGATCAGATCGTTGAAGGGGTACGGGATATTCTCGAGGACGCCGCGCAAGCAAAGGCAGATGGCAAACACTTACCATCCCTCGAAGAGGAACGAGAACGCCACGAAACCTACTTGGCCAAGTTAGCGCAGGAGAAGAAGGAAGCAGAAGAACGCAAGAAGATGGAAGAGACTCAGGAAGAGGAGCGTGTCATGGCTGAGATGCTCCAGCAACAAATCGACCGACAGAAACAAAAGGCCAAGGAGTCGAAGCGCCGTCCGAATGGCAACTCTCACCAGGAGCTGACCGCCAGTACAGAGACAGATGAGATGATCGAGTTTGATCAATTTTGCAACATCACGGATAAGTCGGGAAATACCGTAGTCTTCAAATCTGTTGCCGGCAGATGCGATCCTCGACAAGGGCCTGTGTCTGTCGTTTATACAGTCAGGCCTGTCTTGTCTAATGGACAAGGCAGCTTGACCATGGCACTAAAAGAGACCATACTGCGCAACACAAGCAAAGACTCGAAGGAATTCAAAATTCAACTTCAGAGTCTCGAATCTCGACTCCAAGATCTCAAGACTGTGAAGCGAATTCATCACCGTCATCTAGTTGAAGTTTTGGATTTCAGGGTCCAGGCTGGACTCGCCTCGGATCCCACTGTTGCAAATGCATGGACTATAAGTGTCCTGTCACCTTTGGCAGAGAAGGGTCCTTTGGAAGAGCTATTGGAGCTTGCAGGACAAATTGAAATTGGCAAGGTGCGCTCTTGGACGCGGGACTTGCTAGATGCACTCAACTTTCTCCACAACAAGAACATTGCTCATCAAGATATCCATCCAGGGAACATTCTTCTGTTCCGAGAAGCCACAGGTGAAATCATTCCTAAAATCTCCGATGCCTGGTATCAGAGAGAAATCCACTCTATCAACTCTCACAGGCCAGGGCTTCCTGGATTGCACACTGCCAAGTCTGCCTACTGGTTGCCTCCAGAGATTGCCGGCACTTCAAAACCCCAGTACACCTTCAAGACCGATATTTGGGACTTTGGTGTCGTGTTCGTCCAGATGATATTTGGCCTTGACGTGCTACGAACGTACTCGTCGCCTAAGAACCTGATGGAGTCTGTCACCCTCTCTCATTCTTTACATGAACTAGTGAGCAGATTCTTTAAGGAAGACAAACAAAAGAGGCCTAGAGCCTTTGAGCTTGGATCCAGCGAGTTCCTGGCCACGGACGCACCAGTTCTCTTCGATGACACATCCGCTATCCTGTCAAGTAGCCCTGCGACTTCCTTTCAGCCCATTCCAAAATTTAGGCGCGATTCAACCACCCACCGAGGACCTTCTCTGTCAAGATACACTGAAGACTTTGTCGAAGAAGGCAGACTAGGAAAGGGGGGTTTCGGAGAGGTTGTCAAAGCAAGGAAGAAGCTTGATGGCCAGATCTATGCCATTAAGAAGATCACGCAGCGGTCGCAGGCCAGTCTTACAGAAATTTTAAAGGAGGTTCGATTGCTGTCCCAACTTAGCCATCCTGCGGTTGTTCGATACTACAACACGTGGGTCGAGGAGATTTCTGACCAGGGTGATACTGAGGACGATACTTCAACCGACTGCTTTACAGAGGAGAACACCCAAGGCACTGAGTCTGCCGGAATTGATATCCAGTTCGCCACTAGTACAGGAGGTCTCGATTTCATATCATCCAACGCAGGTGTGGATTATGGGTTCGAAGAATCAGATGAAGATGAAGACGAAGACGATTCCGAAGAAGAGGACACATCAGACTCCGACGATGAGTCACTGGATGAGATGTCTATCCATCGAGTTGTATCTCCAGACAAGGAAAGAAATGTCATGTTTCAGCGACGTGCTCGTTATCAACGTTCTTACAGAACAATACTCTATATTTCCATGGAGTATTGTGAAAAGCGAGTAAGTAACTAGGCTACAATGTTGCCTTGTAGATGGCAGTTTGCTTACTGAAATCCATAGACTCTTAGGGATCTTATCGCCAGGAACCTTTACAAGAATACGGCCGAGATCTGGAGACTTTTCCGTCAGGTCCTCGAGGGCTTAGCTCATATTCATGGATTGAGCATCGTTCACCGAGACCTCAAGCCGGAAAATGTCTTCATCAGCAGCAGCTCGGATGGAATTGACAACGTCAAGATTGGCGATTTTGGACTTGCCACCAGCGGACAGTTCTCGGTAGAGAAGGCCACCACAGGAAACACCTTGGAGACAGACGATATGACGAGAAGTATCGGCACAGCCTATTACTCGGCGCCTGAGGTGAGGTCGACAGTGAACGGTATATACAGTACAAAAGTCGATGTAAGTGAATCAAGCCTATCACGGCTCCTTCTTAAACTAACGAAATTAGATGTATTCTCTGGGGATTATTTTTTTTGAAATGTGCTATCTACCTATAATGGGCATGCAAAAAGCCGACGTTCTAGGTCAGCTTAGGCGGCCGCAACCAGTATTACCATCAGACTTTAAGCCCGCGGAGAAAGCTCAGACTGACATTGTGTTGTCTCTTGTCAACCACAATCCGAAAGAAAGGCCATCGAGTACAGATCTCCTGAAGAGCGGGAAGCTGCCGGTTCAGATGGAGAGTGAGACTATCAGACGCACTCTTGCAGGACTCGCAGACCCCAGCTCGCCCTACTATCGCAAGATGCTTTCGACCCTCTTTGCAAAACGAATGGAACCTGCCAAGAACTATGCCTGGGACATGTCTTCCGCAAATATGAGTCCTCAGGAGTTACTCAACCAGGGTTTAGTGAAACAAGAACTGGTGTCAATCTTCCGCCGCCATGGCGCTTTGGAAACCCCTCGTGGCATCATTTATCCAAAATCCACCCATTATGGCGATAATGCTGTTCAACTTTTGGATCCCAATGGCAACGTGCTCCAACTTCCCTACGATCTGACTCTTGGAAATGCAAGAATAATGGCCAAGCAAACCAACGGACCGGTCGTTCAACGAACATTCACATTTGGCAACGTATTCCGTGACAAGCAGGACATGGGACAGCCGCTTATGTTTGGAGAAGTCGATTTTGATATTGTCACTAAAGACACGCTGGATCTCGCCCTGAAGGAAGCAGAAGTTCTCAAGGTGATTGATGAGATCATTCACACATTCCCTTCGTTGTCTACAACAGCTATGTGTTTTCATCTTGGACACTCGGATCTTTTGCATCTTATTTTTGAGCATTGCGGAATTGAGCCTGCCAGTCGGAGTGGAGCGGCAGATGTCTTAAGCAAGCTGAACATTCACAATTACACATGGCAGAAAATTAGAATTGAGCTGCGGTCGCCAACTGTGGGTGTTTCAGCTACAAGCGTGGACGAACTTCAAAAGTTTGATTTTAGAGGTACGAAAGAGTGACTGCAATTGAAAAATGAATAGGACTAACATAAAACAGACACACCGAACAAAACCTTTGCCAAGCTCAAGACCCTCTTTGAGGGAAGTGATATGTATCAGCGAGCTTCGCCAACTATCGCTCATCTCAAAGAAGTTGTAGAGTATTGTAAGCACTTGAGTGTAGGGACAAAGGTCTACATCAATCCTCTCAACAGTCTGAAGGAGGCCTTTTACACAGGGGGCGTTCTTTTCTCCTGCCTCTATGACAAGAAGGTCAAGGATGTTTTTGCTGCCGGTGGCAGATACGATCAATTGATCAAGGAACATCGACCTAAAGTTGGCAGCCAGTTTGGAGAGCGTCACGCTGTTGGATTCAGTTTGGCGTGGGAGCGGTTAGCAAAAACCCCAAAAGCTGGTGGACGTTCGTTCTTGAAGAAGGCTGAAGATGAATCAAATGGTCTATTCAACGCTCGACGAGTAAGTTTATCCCTGTAAGTGAAGTTGAAGGCTTGTACTAATTGCATGATGCAGTGTGACTGTCTTGTTGCCAGTTTCGATGCTGCTGTGCTGAGATCGTCAGGTGTTGAGATACTCCAGACTCTTTGGGCGCACGACATTAGCGCTGAGATGGCGAAAGACGCCAGGTCACCCGAGGATTTAATGTCGAAGCACCGCGATGAAACGTATTCTTGGATCATCATCATCAAACAGGACTCTATCTTGAAGATCAAGAGCATGGGGCGAAAGGATGTACCGGATGCGGATATACCGACGACACAATTGCTTGCCTGGCTTCGTAACGAGATTCGAGAACGCGATTCAAGGTCGGTAGTGAAGCTCCGCGGCAACAGTACCGCGGACTCCAGCTCGGGTGATAAAGAATCCGAGCAGGAAGTCCGTGTATTGGTGGCACAAACGCGGAGCAAAAAGTTCAACCGCAGAACGGTTGTGGAACAAGCGCAAGTCAGTGCGAGCAGCCTGGTGCGATCTTTCCTCGAAGGGCCGGTCTTGGCTATTGAGACAACAGATCAGGTTATGGACCTGATGCGCGAGACATGTCTCTCGGAACCCGATGGCTGGCGACAGGTTGAACACTCAGTTACGACTACGGAGAAGAAGTACATACGGGAGATTCATGACCAGTTGGACACCTGGCGATACACGTATGAAAAGAAGAACGGGTCACGGCACGCGTTCCTCTATAACTTTCGCTCAGGCAACTGTGTATACTACGACCTAGGTGCGTGATACATGTTGGAGTGTTGCAATGGAATACTATATAGAAGGGTACATATTGCTTATGTGCTTATGAATATTTGACGCATTGCATGAAGATGGGTTGCGGTAGAGTTTATTCGTATTGGAACTCAGATAGAAAACATTTGAGTGAAACAACTCAACTCGCATTTGGTCCTAACCTTGCTTGGTATTATAAGCGCTTTGATAAAAATCCAACGTGAAACGTTGATGATACCTGGATAAATGTTATATTTACTTTATTGTGCATATCTTCATACTAACCCTGGAGTTGAAACAAATAATGATAGTTTGTTCCAGGTTCACATGTCAAGGCTCTTTGAAGCAAAAAAGAACGTAGAGTAATTAAAAAAAATAAAAAAAAATCAACCGATGCTCGCAGATCTTAAGAGGGTTAATTATCCAAATTGAAGTGTTTAATTTTCATGAACCATTAATGTAAATAAATGCAGGCACCCGAAAGACCGGGAGTAGACGGGTACGTACCTAAGCGTCGTGGGGTAGGGTGGGGCCGAAGTGGAGTTCAAAGTTAAGGGACCAACAATACGTCGACGTCAGCTTTTTTCACCAAAGCAGGCACGAGGAGGGGCAAAGAAGGCGCAAACAGGGCATGTGTCAGCGTCAGACATGGCATGATGGCAGGTGTGACTGCGGTCACTGGCCGCTGCGGGTTTGGAGCATCTATTGTAAACGCCCCCGGCCCCGGGACGGCGGCGGCCTGGCCGAAGGATGAATGACTCTCTATTTTATTGCTAGTTAATAACTGGAGGCAGATCAATAGACATTCTTTTCTCTTCTCTTCTCTTTCTCCATTTATTATTCATTTGTCGTCCTGCAGCTATGTCATTGTTCTGTGTGTGCGTGAATAAGCAGTAACAAGAGACGAACCTTTTCCCCTTCTTCTCCCTGTTTGAACCTCTTTCTCCAAGCATTCGCCTGAACGGTCTCGGTCACAACCTTCCCTGAAAGCATTCGCTCATCAAGGTTAGGTATGCTTCAACAATAAGCAGAGCATAACAAAAAAACAACGCCCTTCACTAAAACAATAACTTTTCCTCCCTATTATAAAGAAAGGGCAAGCGGGACCCAAACAGGATTTGCCAACAAAGCGAAACAACCGCCACTTCACACTTCACTTCGATTTTACCCCAAAACACCAAGACCAACACCAACACCACTGTCGCTGCCGCTAGCTACCACTTTGCGCCAATCGCCGAAGCCGCAAACGCCGGCCTCCTCATCCTACTCCCGCCCCTCCTCGACCGCCCTTTCCACGCCCTTGGTTCGCTTCTGCTTCTGGCCTGATTTATTAAATTAAGCCTGACTCTCAGCTACCAACCTGCAACCAACATCTTTCCTTGGAATCACAAGTGTTTTATTCTTTTCAACCGCTCGCTCATTTGGAAGATTCCTGTCATAGGACCAGCATCACAATACCGATACAGAGACCTGGATCAGTAACCAAGTCATCATGGCGCACAAGCGACTTATGCAAGAGCTCATGCCCCTTCAGAAGGAGAAGTGGGTTGACATCGAGGTGTGTTTTACAAGACTTCATAGTCAAACGTAAGAGCTAACATGTAGTTTCATTCAAGACCGACGATTCAAACCTCCTTCGCTGGAAACTCGGCCTCTGGGTCGTCAACCCCGACAGCGTATGGCACGGTGCCTATCTCAAGGCCGAGATGAAGTTCCCGAACGATTACCCATACCAGCCTCCCACTTTCAAGTTCCTGACAAAGAATATCTGCCACCCCAACGTTTACACCGATGGCAACCTCTGCATTTCCATCCTCCACAAACCGGGTGAAGATGAGCAGTCAGGCGAGCTGGCTAGTGAGCGCTGGAATGTTCTTCACGGCGTCGAGTCTGTTCTCCGATCCGTTCTGCTCCTCCTCGACGATCCCGAGATCAACTCCCCTGCGAACGTCGACGCGAGCGTCCTCTACCGTGACAACAAAGCCGATTATAATAGGCGGGCAAAGGAAATCGTTGATAAGTCTCAGAAGGACATACCAGCAGGCTCCCGAATGCCCACCACCTCCGAACTCACCACCGCACCACAAAAGCCAATCGACGATGACGCCGATTTTTGGAACATGACCGACGAGGAATTGGACTTTGGCGGCAGCGATAGTGAGGAGGATATGGAGGATTTCGACGACGACGATGAAGACGACGACGATGTTAGAGACCGGAATTAGACGTCCTGGCGCAATAGTGCATTTCTTGGGAAGGTCCAATATGGCGGGTTAGCTGTATTCATCCTCGGCATTTTAACGGTTTCGTCTTTTCATCTGCAGTATAGCCGGTATAGCGGGTTGTCTTTTATCATGGGCGTTAAAGATGCGCGGCCTGTTCTGACTAGAATAGTCAGGACGAAGCATGGAATTTGGCATGGCGGGAAGCGGGGACGGATCCGCGGTCTCTGTTTTATACATGCTGTTATGAGGAGCAAAGGAGTGTGTTTCATTCGTAATTTCTTTATAGACAGAATGCGAAATTCCAGACAATGTTCAGGTGCTAATATCTATAGATGGACTGTGAGGCCAATGTCTACCAAATGCTTTTCCGGCCGGGTCACGAAAGGGGACCAGGTGGTATTATCAATTGGGAAAAAGTATGGCGGAATCGGCCTGTTTGGGCAACATGAACGAATATCACAAGATGTAAAAGGCTGACCATTGATGTACTTTATCGTGATGAATAGTGTTTTGTATTCCTTTATCGGAATCACAATGTGAAGCGCTACTTTCTGAAACCCAATATCGCTGTCGAAAACCAATAATTCAACGTGATGCTTCCATCCTCACCTGCCTTGAATGCAAAGGCCGAGGAAACGCCTTACGCTCAAATGTTAAAGCAAGAATCATGTCGTGTCGAGAGACAGCGGCGATACCTATCGTCAGCCCATGCTGCATTTCAACAAACCAAACCACAAAATGCAACCATTTGCGCCCCTTTTGCTACGTCTCAAAGCACCACCTCAGGATGTCTCGTGCTTCTCATCTGACATATCCATGTCAATGTCTATCAGATTGGCCGACTCCTTTCTTTCAGATGGGGGTCTCGACATCGACATGAAAGAGGGCAGCTTGGACTTCTCTTGCATTTCTGGACTTCGAGGCTCCTCTGACACAGACAGAGCACTGTCCGTGTAGTCGGCGCCAACTGTGTTAGGCGTCAGGGTAGCCGACGTTGGCTCTGTCGTGGACGCGATCGAAGCCTCAGGTCGGGCTGGGAGCGTGGGAGGGTCGTCATCAAGAAGATCGGAACTATGGATGTAGTCTGACGAATCCCCATAGTCCTTCATCTCAGTAACTATGCCATCATCCTGATCATCGAACGGGTTGTCCCATCCGTTTCTACCATCGCTTCCAATCGATGCACGGTTGCTGTCCATTGATCCAACACTGTCGGCTCGGTGTTTTCTCTTAGAAGGTGAGATGGGATCAAATGTTGGTGTTGTCTTGACCTCAACTGTTGACTCTTCCTCGTCCAATTCTTGTCGAAAAGCTTTGTTGTCCACCTTGACAAATCGCTCAAGCTGAGGTGGAAGGGGTTGCTTGGGAGCTTTGAGGGCCTCTTCAGTGGCATATACGAGCAATGGCTTGTTGGTATCGTCCCACATCTGCTTGAGCACTTGCTCGATATCCAGCTTCTGTAATGGTGTTAGTCGTCAACACTTCTATGGCTTCAAGCCCGTTCCGTTTTCTTACCTCTGCCCTGGTGGCTGATTGATCCCCATAAGGAGTATAAGCTAGTCTCCACCATTGGTCAGCTGGCTTGCTCTCGTCTCCGTCCATTTCTATTAGGTCCTCTTCTTCACGTCGACAAACATATATTATGTGAGGAGATGTGGCCACTCCACGCAACAGGTACTTTTTGCAGGTCATGGGCTCCGGACGACCTGGCTTGTCTGGCACAGTCAGAAGCCGCCCCAGTGCTCTCTGTTTTCCCGCGACCTGTTCCATTTCGGTATCAATATCTGCAATCACATCAGTAAATCATCTTCCAGTTTTCCCCGAGCCGCAAGATCTACCTTTCATCCTCTTGTCAAGACTTTCGAGCAGCTTCTTCGAGTGCTGGATCACCTCCTCAACCGTCTGGTACTGTTCCTTCGCAACATCATCGCGATCGGGAACAGCCTGGTGATAGTCGGGGTACTTGTTTGTATCAAATCCAGATTTCTCCAACGCTCGGAACTTTCCAAGCCCATCGAGATAGCTCTTGTACCCTTCCCACTGCTCTGCTGACCTTTTCAAGAGGTCGGATTTTGTCTTGGCTTCGTCGGTGACCCAAGTCTCGGCTAGGCGATCAAGTTGTTCCTTTTTCTTTTCAAGGCGTGCCATTTCTTTTTTGGTCTGGCGCCAACCGTACTGGATGCGGCGAGCCTCGTCTTTCCGCGACATCATGTATTTTTCTGGATAGAATTCCTGTGGTATTTCTATTGGGTCCTTCGGTCCGTCGCCAGCGATGTCGAGTACCAAAACTTCACCCATCTCCTTGAAAAAAGCCACCTTGGAGTCTTGGTTAATCGTTTCGGACCCCAGTGTATCGCTCCACATCACATGGTCAAGTGCCTCATATAAAGTCTTGATACACTTGTACTCGTCATGTGTGTGCTCTATCTCGAGCAGACCAAAAGTGGCGTCCTCTTCCAACGTGTCGCCATGGAACAATGCAAGAGAAGCCACCTGCATGATCGGTCGGATCGTTTCTATGTGTCTTTGGCCAAGCATCTCGTAAAACTGTTTCTCCATGCCACTGCTTTCGGGGTGCATGTAATCCGCCAGCACAACTATTGAGCCATGCCCACGCTCGGTGGAGTCCAGAAATGCCATTAGACGGTGAATTTCCTCCTGAAACCCAATGTCACTCTTAGAGCCATTCAAGTTCCCGTCTTGCTGCATCCGTGTTAAAAGGTCTGGCGACAAGACCTCTTCACCTTTCCACCAGCCTTTGTTGTAGTTATATGTTGCAGCCAGGTCGCCGATATTGAGAAGGATGTTTCGAGCTATGGAGATTTCATGCATGATCGTGAGAAGTCCACCAAGTCGGTGATCATGATCCGGTGCACCGGCCACCACCAACATTGCGGGAGCGCCCGGCGCCCGCTTTCTTTTTGATGCCAGAGGCACATCCACAGATGTCTTTTTGCTGGCTGGCCCAGTGGGGACCATTGCCCAGTCTGCTGTATTGTAGGATTCGCGGTTGGCTGGACCAAACTGGATTGGCGCAGGTTCAGAGGTTCCTGTAAGGCCGGTTTCTTGTTGTGGTACTGGTACGCCAGCTTCTTGCGCTGACTCGAAAAGGGCTCGTTGCATGTCGTCATCTTCCTGGGCCTGACTGTTTGGGACACCTTCGTGCCAGTTAGCATGTGTTGGTTGGAGGGGGTAAGAGGAATACCGGGCACGTGTGCCGCAGTCCAGTCCACCATCGTACCCAAGGGAGATCGGTTGTTTGATCGGGAAGGAGGTCTCGAGGGAGCGCCATATATGTGAGACTCGGGCGGAGGAGTTACGCCTTGAATAACGGAATGATCAGTGGATTCAACATGAAAAGCTGTAGAATTTAGTCAAGGCCAAGGAGATGATCAAGGAAGAAACTGACAAATCCCAGCATTGTTGGTGCTGCCATCTCTATCTGCACTGAATACCGAGTCGTCCCAGAGCTTTTGATACCTTGAACGAAACTGTACCGTTTTAGCATGCTGTCAGGCCTGACCTTGGTGTAGGAGATACTCATACGTTTTCTTCCCCTTCATAAAACTGGCCAATAACCTTGTTCGTATCACGGTTGTTGAGCTATGAAAGAAATATATGTCAGCCACAACGGGCGCTTCGCAAACGATTTCCTGAGCTGACCTTCAGGGCTTGTATAGCCAAGTGGCGATCGTTTTCTGCTTGCAGACCGCAAAAGTCAATAACCATATCAACCTCCGCCTCGGAAGGATCCATGGACGCCATGATGCTGCGGTTGGTGAAGCTGTGAGGTTTATGAGTAGCAAATATGAAGCTCCTCTCGGTTGTCAAAGCTCAATCTGTCGATGCGGTGCTCCTCCCACTACGAGGGGACGATGAACCAGAGAGCTTGCCTTGAAGGACGGGTTACAAGGAGAATCGAGCGAAGGGAACAATGGAAAATAAAAACGTGAAAGACAAATAATGAGAGCTTAGAGGTCGCTTCTGACGAAACGCACTCGTTGTAAGTTGTATGAAGGAATGAAGATGGACCACCAATTGATGAGCAGCTTCTCCTGCACTTGCAGTGGTCGCGGAGGGGTACGTACTAGACTAACAGTGATAAGATAAGAGAGTGCTTGGCGTCGCTGATTCACACGTGCTAAACTGGGACGTTATTCCTTGATGACGATCTAACAAAGCAAAACTCCATATCCATAACTTCCATTGTATAGGTTGACTTTTGAGTACCCGGTGACGGACTGTGGATTCATGTATCTTGTGAGAGTATAAAGGCAGGTAGTCAACAGACTCAGGGATAGTTGCATATGCGTATATGTTTTCTGTAATGGCACGGGATATTTCGTGAAGTGTTTTCTGTACAATGATTCTGGGACAAAAGACGTGTACTAAGACCATGATCTTGTGTATGACTTTGGACATAGCCATTGGTGATATAGGTACTGCGTATGCACAAGCAGTGTATTCGGATTCATTGTAACAATGATATATCACTGAATGTCAATAGTACAAGTTCTAGTTTATCAAGGACTACGGTTCTACGCTACCTGCCTAGGTAGGTACGAAGGCATTCGAGGCTTGATACATACCAGGGATGTAGCTTGCCGACGCACTTATTCCGTGCAGAGCCCAACTGTAGCTTAACGATAGCTTAGAAGGTTCTAGAAGCTTCGACAATGAGCAAGCTGGGGTTGGCAGGAATAGCTGCAGCTCCAGTGGGGGCAAGCGGGCCGTCAAGTTACAGCTTCTATGTACAGACTTGGGGTCACAACAGATATGTGCAAGGCATCACAGAGCACATAAACGATAAGTAAAGTATCGCAAAAATGGAAAGGATCGTAGCAGTAGGCCAAGATTCGAGTGTCTCCAAGACCCGCTCAAGCTTCCAGGAACCATCTTGAGCTTCGGAGATGAATGTCTTGGTCTGGATTTCGGGCGTCTGGGGCGCTATCTCCACCACGGCTAGGTATCGTCATAGGCCACTTTACCCTGCGAGTATGTTCAGGTATCATCGATAGGTTGGGTTGAGCCCGACGTGAGACCACCGCAGAGCATGACCGACAGAGTTTTAGATGTGCATATTGTAGGAATTGAGTTTTGACAGGTCTGAATAATCCAACAGTTGATCTTGGAAGGGAACGTTTACTTGCAGTTCTGGACAAAACAAAAAAATCACTGATGTAATTAAATGTACATCTTTCTTTATTCTGAATGGAAACCGATCGACTCGACGTCACCCCACCCCCAGCCAGCCATCGTCCATTCCACATCAAGGTCTCCAGGTATCCATGGCCTGCTGCCGCTTTCCCTTGGAAGCTTCCACAAGGTCCCATGGCCCCAGTATTTCCCAGCAGTGGCTTCTCTAAATTCCATCACCTAACCATCTTACGGTCGCATGGCGTAGCTTTGAAGCATCAGTGTCAATACCTTATCTAGTAGGTAGACTTAATCCTCCTCACCTTTTGTAAACTCACTCTTGTAACCAACACACCCCCCTCTCTTTAACCACCTTACTTTAATTCACAAACCAACCCTTTCACTCTTCGTTTTCCTTTGAAAAAAGAAGCAATAAACCGCCTACTACCTACCTACTTCTCATTCTAGTTTCCACTCCTCTCCCACCGCTCACACTTCAACTCAACACATTTGAACCATATCATACACACTCTCAAGAGCACAACATTGACCACAAACCACAATGGTCAAGGAGACAAAGCTCTACGATACCCTAAATGTCAAGCCTGAGTCTTCTCAGGACGAGATCAAAAAGGGATATAAGTAAGTAAACACAACTTCTTATCATGTCACCGCCTCGGAATACATGGGTGGCTCGACAAGCATTAAGCACCTTGTCGTCGCAAAAGTCGCCCTTTGCGCAGTTCGAATTCACGCCATCTCTACACGACAGTAACTAACCACCATATTCTATAGGAAAGCAGCCTTGAAATGGCATCCAGACAAGAACAAAAACAGCCCCGATGCGGCTGAAAAGTTCAAAGAATGCTCGCAAGCATACGAGATTCTTTCCGACCCCGAAAAGCGTAAGATTTATGATCAATATGGTCTCGAATTCCTCCTACGTGGTGGTACCGCTCAACCCGAAAGCGGTGCTGGTGCCGGCGGCAACCCCTTTGCAGCTGGAGGTATGCCTGGCGGATTCAACTTCGAAGGCGGTATGCCTGGTGGAGGCACCCGGACTTTCCACTTTAACACCGGTGGCGGTGGTGCTGGCTTTGGTTTCAGCAACCCCGAAGAAATCTTTGCCGAGTTCATGCGCAACGGAGCCGGTGGTATGCATGGCGGCGTTGATGATGATGACATGGCAGGCGTGTTTGGTGGGTTCGGCGGAGGTCCTCGCAGCCGTGCTTCACGCACGCGATCAGGCTTTGAGGGACGAGCCAGGGAAACGACACCCGAGGTTACAACCGTCGAGCGACCTCTACCTCTGACTCTCGAGGAGTTGTTCAATGGTGTTACCAAGAAGATGAAGATTAAGCGTAAGACGTTTGATGATTCTACCCAGAAGCGGGTGCAGACCGATCAAATTCTCGAAGTCCCCATCAAGCCTGGTCTGAAGAAGGGCTCCAAGATCAAGTTCAACGGAGTCGGTGATCAAGTAGAGGGAGGTCGCCAAGATCTTCACTTCATTGTCGAAGAGGTAAGCACAAATTCATGTCAATCCTAGGTATAATTCGATGACTAACAATTTTATAGAAGGAACACCCTCTCTACAAGCGCGAGGACAACGACCTCGTACACACCGTCACCCTCGACCTCAAGGAGGCCCTAACTGGATGGCGAAGAACGGTGACCACAATCGATGGTCGACAGCTGAACCTAGAGAAGGGAGGCCCTACCCAGCCCAACGGCGAGGAGCGTTATCCCGGCCTGGGCATGCCGATTTCGAAGAAACCAGGCCAGCGAGGCGACTTTGTTGTCAAGTACAACATCAACTTCCCATCAAGTTTGACTGCAGACCAGAAGCAGAAGCTGAGGGAGATCCTATAGAGGCTCACTGCGGACGAACCCATTTGCAATTCTGTCCGGATACTAAGACGTGTGCTGGAAATCGATTGAAGCCAGCAACATCAGGATTCGGTTACAAAGGCTTGCATTGCACATGATTGGTGTTTTGGCGTTGGGGACTTTACGAATAATGAAAAGAGAGGATGTCTGATGGATGGACCTGGTCCAAGAATACAAAGTTATAGGCGGATGAAAGGGAGTTGATTAGCATGTGGAATTTGATATCCATTTGATGGTTGTTTAATTAGTAGCAATTATGTCTTATATGGCTGTCTAATACTGAGGCAGGTTTAAAGATTTGATGAATTGGTTCTTATGTTCGTTTTAGTTGGTGTTCATGTGATCGCGATACCATGACCTAGTTCAATATGGACTGATACAAATCCCTCACGCCAAATATGACGAGTGATGTTTTGGGGTCCACCGTTGCCGAGTTACTGTTTGCATGCAGACTTGTGATGACTACAGCATATGCACATTAAACGGGTGGTCGGTTCGAATTCTCCGTCACTGCAGCAAGGTATGCTGTGTGGATGGGATGTCCTGTGCTCATGTATGGTACTCAGAGGCTTTGATGAGAGGTTTTCTTGTCTAAGCCAGCCAAGCCATTGCTTTGAAACAACCCTGTCCCATGCTACTCAAGCTTGTTAGACCAGAGGCTCAAAGAATAACATCGCTGATGCGGGCTGGTAGGAACGAAGAGTAAGGGAAGAAAACGGGTCCCCCTCTCTTAGCGTCTTGTTTAACAGGGATTCAAAGTGCAGCGATGACGACACTTGGCGGTTCTTAGCTTGGATGGAGGGGGAGGGGCATTTTATTCGTTCATTTGTTTATTCATTCGATTCGATTCGGGATCGCGAGGGGTTTTGTCTGACTTGCACGTGTTGGTGAAGATTCCAATCGTTGCAGTCGATCGAATAGTATCAGCATTATATCGGTAGTATATGTATTTATGAATTTTGCTGTGTCCTTTTCATATACAAGCACGCTATTATACTTGTCTGACTATCATTCATACTTGACCCATCATCATGATGATACTTCTGTTGTTCCCCATGCCCGCGGGGTTTCTCAACCACCCTGTCTAGTACTCAGTCTTACACGCTGGATGGCTGATGCACGTTCAAAGGCAACATCCCATCAATGGAACCCAACCCGGGCAACCCCCGTAGTCTTGACTTAGTAGAAGCCCCAGTTACACTTGCATGTTCCAATTACAGCTTGCTGCAGTACCATGAGCTCTTTCCGTCACCTTCTGGGTTCCCTCCGTATCTTCAATCAAGGAAAGACAGCTCCTCCATAAAACCTCCGTTCCCCCACACTTGCTCCATCACTCTCGTCTTCTTCCCTCACCACCTCTCGCTCCACCGTCTTTCCACGACATTCTATCTTGTTTCCCTATTTAAGAAGCCTAATTCCTTCTAGAGCTTACGTCTACTCATTCCCTAAAAGTATCATAACTACTATCCGCCAAAATGCCTGAGGTGTGTTCTGTATAACCGGCACATCTCGAGCACTTAGCTGACATGTGACTCTAGATCAACACCCTTCTGTTCGACTGCGACAATACCCTCGTCCTCTCTGAGGAGCTCGCCTTCGAGGCTTGCGCTGGTCTCATTAACGAGATCTGCGAGTCTCGCCAGGTTGACATGCGATTCACTGGCGAGACTCTCATCAAGGAGTTCGTCGGCCAAAACTTCCGTGGCATGCTCACCACCCTCCAAAAGAGTTACAACATCGACATCTCCCCCGAGGACCTCGAGACCTACGTCCGAAAGGAGGAAGACGCCGTCATCGCCAAGCTCAAGGAGGCCCTCAAGCCTTGCGTTGGTGTTGATGAGCAGCTCGAGAAGCTTGCTGCTTCCGGAAAGTACACAATGTCCGTTGTGTCTTCCTCAGCTCTTCGACGAGTTCGTGCTTCCATCGAAAAGGTTGGCCAGGACAAGTACTTCCCTGGCGACGTTGTCTTCTCTGCTGCCACAAGTCTCGAGAAGCCTACCAGCAAGCCTGACCCCGCCATTTACCTCCACGCTCTAGACAAGCTCGGCAAGAAGGCCGAGGAGTCAGTTGCCATTGAGGACAGCAAGAGCGGTACTCTCAGTGGTACTCGTGCTGGAATCAAGGTCATCGGTTACGTCGGTCCTTATGCTGAGGACAAGCAGGCCGAGATGGAACAGACTTTGAGAGACGCCGGTGCTGTTGTAATCATGCGTGACTGGTCCGAATTTCCCACTGCTCTGCAAAAGATTGAGGCTGGTGAGGTTTAGATAAGGGAAGAGTTTGTTGTTATGACAATCTGCTTTGAGGAATACCCAAATATTATGTATGTCGATCATATAGCGAAAGGGACGCACAGGATAACATAGACCTGTCTAACTAATACAATTTTGATGAATATACTTGGCGTTTATATATCATGAGACATGGGTGGCCAATCTAAGACATGCTTTCATTTCAGTCCCATACAACATAGTACTTGTCATGATCGAGTTCTGTTGTAACGTGTTGTTATTTTTTTTTTATCGAATTGATCGGCACTTCATGCATAATGCGCCTACTACTTCCGCCAATCCATTAAAAAGCTATTGACACTCTGCAATGTAGCACGACTAGGATTTGCGCCAGGGTAAGCCGTCATGATGAGGCCCAACCTCGACTTAATCAATGTCTTTGTAAAAGAGACATTTTTTGTTGAATCCCTCAACTTCCCTTTGTCATCGAATAGATAACATGATATCGCAAGAGCCACGCCAACTGATAAGTCCTTTCCAGACTCGCATGCCACAACAATTCGTTGTTCATCGGGTTTCTCAACCCCGGCAAGATATTTGGCGGCAAAATCACAGATATCAGGCAGTGCAGTGCGAAGATTTCGACTTGCCAACTTGCTTTTCCCAAGGCCAGTTTGCAGGTATGTTTTGGACTTCAACCATGAATCCTTTGGTGTTGTATCTTGGGTTATGGCTATGCGACATTCGCTGGGCATGGCGTAGAGGGGCAAAGCGCATACAGATATATGAGGCGCAATCTGTATTTGAGATCCTTCATCTTTCTTGCTAGTCGCCTGCTCATCGACTAGCTTAGAGATGAGATCCGGCAGTTCTGCTTCTGGTGTTTCAAGAAGCTTATCAATGTTGTCCCAGAACAAAGGCGCTTCGAGACCATGCGCCCACATTTCAGTATCGTCAGCTGCACCCTGGATGTAACCGCCCTCGTCCATCTCACTGCCTACCACACGACGACTAGCCGTACAGCATATCACAGGCCGGAAATCCTCGAATATAGACTCTGTGTCTTCTGGCGAGGGAAGACTAGAGTCAGGCGTTACCCAGAATGGACGCAGTGGCTTGGTGAGGCATGTTGGAAGGTTGAGATTGAGAGCTTTCAATGATGCGACGAATTCGGGGATGAGTGCGGATATTTGTGAGTGAGTTGTTGCGGGAAGATGAGCTGGGAGGTACAGTTTGGATGAGGAAGGGTGTGTGGGGAGAATGGCGAGGTTGAGAACAGTGCACCAGATGGGGATTGTGGAAGATAGGGCATCGGGCATTCCTGTATAAGTCAGTATTCATGTGAATATGGGTTGACAAAGGACCTACGCTTGCCACGACGAGTAGAATCGACGATTATGATACTATCAACAATTAACTTCTCACTCTAGATAAGAATACCTACATTATCTTGATACATACCCATCGTTCTTCTCAATGATTTCAACCAAATGCAAATTCAATCTTCTCGTGCTAAACTTCCACGCTCTCTCGTGACCATCGGTACTCTTGAAATACGCACTCGCGCCTTTCCGCCCAGGAGGAATATACCAGCTACCGCAACGCTCATTGGCGACAAGTGGCCGTGGTGCATACGAATAAGATACGCGGTCTACGAATTCTGCGTCGGTTTGAATGCTGGTTAGACGGTTGTGGATTGTGAGTGTTGTGCGTTTGAGAGAGGCCATAAGCTGAGACATGGAGGGTTGTTCATTTTGGGGGAGGATGAGGTCTGAGAAATGAGGGTCGGGCATAGTGGCTTTTTGTGGTCATAGGATTAATCAAGTGTATAAGTGATTTGGTGATGGGAAAATGAATGAGTTTAGATCTTGGAAAGGTCGATACAAGAGTTGTGGTGTTTAGTTTTTGGTGGAGCGACAAAGTTAACAGCCCGCATGGCTTATCCACCCCGCATTAAACGCAGAGTATATTCACTTTCACTTCCCAAGAGAATATTTGATAAATGTAAACAAAAAAGGCTTCATCATTACTTTTGGTCGTAACCCGTCAGACATATTTACATGCAGCATATGGTATTCACCCCTCCCGTCGCGCAGCTTCAGTCGATTACTCCAATCTCCACTTGCCATCCTCAATGACAATCTTGATCTCCCTGTTCTCATCGATACTCCTTCGACCGGCCTCGAGAATCGCCGTTGTAGCAATGGTGTTCTTGAGTGTGGGGAGAGGCTTGGCGTCAAGGTCCTCGGGCTTGAGCTTGCCTGAGTTCACAGAGCGGCAGCCATCAACAAACTTCTCAATGGAAATGTAACCGTAACCGGTCTGGCCGGCAAAGTTTCCATCCTCATCTGGGGCGTACTTCATGTAGAAGGGGTTGTACCACATCATCTGGCCGACGGAGTCATCAGCGACATCATAACCTCGCTTGGCCTGGTCGACGCGGATCTCACCGTTGGCGGCGAGGTAGTGGAAGTATTGGTTGGAGTGGACACCAGCCTTTTGAGGTGCGGTCCATGAAGCAGTGTAGACACCAACGGCGCGCTTGCTGGGCTCGCCCTGCTTGTTCCAAGTGACGAGCAGAGAGATTGTGTCCTCGGTGCAAGGATCGCAGCCGAGTTCAACGGCAACACCCTTGGAGGAAGAGGCATTGACGCTCACGGGGACATATCCGCGCTCTTGAACCATAGAGTCGTTGATATCGATGTGGTGACTGTTAAGGTAGTATGAGATATCAGACTCCTTACCAGCCCAAGCCTTGAAGGTCTCAAGCTGTGATTTGGGCTGAGACATGTAGCTGTAGAAGTAGTTGAAGTCGCCAAGCTTCTGAGCCTTTGCGCGAGCATCAGCGTATGCAGGATCGTAGCGCTTGTGATGCTCGACGTAAACGTAGACGCCCTTCTTCTGAGCGAGGTCGACGAGCTGTTGGTGTTCTTCGAGGACTTTGACGGCGGGCTTTGTGATCATGACATGAATGCCTCGCTCAATGGCGTACTTTGCGATGGGAAAGTGAGTAGGGTCAGGGGTGAAGATTGTAATGGCATCGCCTGGGCTGAGGGCGTCAATGGCGGACTTGTAGGCATCAGGATCGACCTTGTCGTTGGCTGGGAAGGAGTCGAAGGAGGTGTCGAGGTCGTTGTAGACTTGTTGAATGTTTTTGTTGAGATGTTCACCTGGAAGTGTTAGTGAGTGAAGAAGTGTTTCTTTTGATAGAGTACGTACGGATAGCAGGGAACTTCTTGCCATTGACACCGACCATGCCCAACTTGTTGACCTTTTCGCGACGGCGCAAATCAAAGAGACTCAGACCAACAACGCCGACCTTCTTGTCTGAACCAGAGGCACCACCACCGACGAAACCGGTGGTGTACTCTCCAGTACCAATCTGAGAGTAAGGTGTTAGCTAATTGGAAATCTGGTTGGTGTCTTTAGGCTGAACTTACCATCAAGACGTTCAAAGGCTCCATTGTGAATGCGATGAGGGGCAACGCGGGGAAGAAAGAAGCTATGATGAGGCGAAAGAAAGAGTATGAGGGTATAAAAAGACTTCCAGACTAGTTTATGGAAGAATGCGCAAGTCGAGTCAAGGTCTGAACTGGTCAAAAGAAGATGTCTAGAGTGCAATCATGAGCTCTCTTATGAATTGCTCGCTCATGTCTCCGCAAGCTAGATTGAGCTTGGTTATTGAAGCTGGATGACAGTTCGGGGTTCTCTCCGTCTACGATTGGAGGAAAAAAGAGTGCCCGCCTTGAAACCCCCCCAATCTCGAGCTTGGGATGGAAAACGTTCTTATGGAGTCATGATAAGTACTGAAGAGCTCATGTGACTGTGGGGAAACGAAACATGGTAAAATGAATATGGGGGAGATGATCTAGATTCATTAATCTAACTGCTTAGAAAGGCGAGATCGCAAGAAATAGTAATGGATTAGTGATTTCTTGTTGTGGACTGCACTATGGTCTATGGAGTTTACGGTACAAGGGCGGGGGACTTTGGAGAAATAATCCCCATAAGAGCTCTTTGTTACTGATCATAACAGCTGCCGGATATCCGAGGCTAACCTCAGTAGGCACATATTGAAACACAGTATAAAGGCCACGGGAAGACGATTCTCCCCGCGGGTAATGAATAGCAGCGACCTTTTGCATTAAACACAAGATTCGAGAGCAGACAAGAACCACCCCCAAAGCATGGATCACCACTATAAACTCGGAGCAATCAGTGGATTACTTTAGTTGAGAGAATCAAATGAGGGGTAAAATGGCGGGGTCGGATCCGGTTCCCCCACCCCCACGCCGCTATAACAACCGGCTCATGACCGCTTGTAAGTCAATGGGTGGCTTGAGTTACAAGGGCATTGGCTGTGCTGTGCAGACATACCTGGTTGATCTATAGTTTAATTGAGTATCAGTATATTGGGAGGTAAAACTAGAATCCTGTCTCTCGCGGAGAAATCAATTTCGAGTGTCGTGACTGCCACTTCTGTGCAACCCAACATCTCATTGCAGTGATCCCACCTGCCACTTTGGGGGTACCAGTACCAATAATTCTCCGCTCACTCATCCTAGAAAGAGCCCCTACAATACAGAATAGTGCATAATGAAAATTACCCCCCATCAACAACAGCATCACCATTACACGCACTCAAACAACTCACACACCCGGCTCAGGCGCAGGCCAGACTTCCAGGTACCTAGGCTTATTCGTTTCGGACTCGCCTGTTTTTCAGCCATGCACTTTGCCTCACATACTGCACCATGTACGGTCAGCTCAAAGCTCAAAGGGGTGACTCTCGACCGGCTAATAACCATCAGGGCGGGATGTCCAACATGGAACCTAAGCGATCCAATATTTTGTTGTTGATGAGCCTCTCTTTCCACCGCCCTTCCCGTCCAGCCGGCTCCTTACACCAAACCTAGCTAGATCAATGGTTAAGGGTTTATGCTGGGTGCTTAATCCTAGAAAAGGATGCACCCAGGAGCCTGGAGGTCCCGTTAAGCGTTTCTACCGAGTGGTAACTATTCGTCAAGGAACCGACCTGAACTGCCGTTCTCGCTCCAGGTAGCAGACAAACCACCCAGCAGCCAAGATGTCAATCGATCATAGTAGGAATCCGCCGATTCCGACATGATTCTCCTTGCGGACTCTTGTTCTTGACTACGACGTTGAGGCTTGATACCATCACGATTGATGTCTTATCTTTCAACCTGATACTTCACTTCAGACAATGTCCACCTTACATACGGAGTAGCGTACCGCCATTAAAGAATTTTGTGGTCCTCTTGACCCCAGACATGGACCGCATTCTTCCAATTGGGGGACGCCGATCCAATACCCACGTTGGTCTTGGAGCACTTGACTTCCCGAAGCGAATCCACCCCCAAACTGGGATTGGGACTGGCTGCCGAAACTGCACTTGTCGGTTCGACATGATGCCTTAAGCTTCCTACGCTAGGTACCATAAGTTATAAAGTCCCTCTTTTGTTTCTTTCAAGCTCCGGATTTTTCGTTTTGCTGTCGTCTGTATCTTGTTTCTTTCACGTCCCCTCTGTCGCCTCTCATCCCCTCGTGAGTCGTCTTACCAGTTTCCATCCTCAATCATCCCATACTTCTCATCATGACTACTTCCAACGGTGCCACCAATGGCCAGAATGGTCACGCGGCCACACCCAGCTCGCTTCCTACCGGAATCTACGCCCCCGTTATGACCTTTTTCGACCCCGAGACTGAGGAGCTCGACATTCCTGTCATCAAGAAGCATGCCGTGCGACTAGGTGAGGCTGGTCTAGCTGGCCTTGTTGCTATGGGCTCTAATGGCGAGGCCGTTCACTGCACCCGCGAGGAGAAGATTGCCGTTACCAAGGCTACACGAGAGGCGTTGGACGAGGCCGGCTTCCAATCAATTCCTGTTGTCCTTGGAGCCACAGAGGGTAGCGTCAAGGGTACCGTTGAGCTGTGCAAGATGGCCGCCGACGTTGGCGCTGCTGCCACTCTCGTTCTCCCTCCTTCTTACTACAAGGCTCAGATGAGCGAGGACGCCGTCTACAACTACTTCATCGACCTTGCCAACGCGAGCCCCATCCCCATTATCCTCTACAACTACCCCGGTGCTGTCGCTGGTCTTGACATGGACAGCGATCTCCTCATCAAGCTCGGCCAGCACCCCAACATTATTGGCACAAAGTTCACCTGCGGAAGCACTGGTAAGCTCACTCGAGTCGCTCTCGCTTCCGATGCCAAGACACCCTTCCAAGAAGGCTCCGGTTACCTTGCTTTCGGCGGTATCGCCGATTTCACCGTTCAGACCCTTGTTAGCGGTGGCAGCGGTATTATTGCTGGTGGTGCCAACGTCATGCCCAAGACCTGCGTCAAGGTCTGGGACCTTTACGTTAAGGGCAAGAAGGACGAGGCTCAAGCTCTCCAGAAGAAGCTCTCCAAGGGTGATTGGGTGCTGACCAAGGCTGCCATCGCTGGCACCAAGTCCGCTATCCAAAGTTATTACGGTTATGGTGGACACCCTCGACGACCCCTTCCCCGTCTCACACCCGAGCAGGCCAAGGGCATTGAGGAGGGTATCAAGGAGATCATGGAGATTGAGATGTCACTATGATGCATGATGGAAGGTTGAACCCGTTAATCTCTGTTCCAATTGGCGAAGAGCCACTTATATGGAAAGGTATGAGTTTGCATAGCGTTGCATTTAATGGCAAAAGGAGCCCTATTGGCTCGACAGATGGATTCACGCAGCGAATCTACTGTCTGGACTTGGTCATGACTATAAAAATTATGAGCATAT